TAAAAACAACTGAACCTACTAATCAACATTAAAAAAAAAACCAAGCCAAACCCATTGCCGTCGAGCTGATTCCGACTCGTAGCAACGCTATAAGACAGAGTAGAACTGCCCCATAGGGCACCACTAAAAGAGGGAAAACCAGGTATTATATGCTTCATGAAGTGACTGATGTAACAGGAAATACACAACAACTGTTGCAAAAAAAATTAAACCTTAAGCTAATCAAGCTTCAAGATTAAACTACTAGTTTATAGGCATTACAGGGAATAGAACAGTTTAAAAATTCCACAAGGAAGTAATCAATCAAATCCAGAGTGTGGAACACTATACAGGACAAATAACCCAGTTTCTTCAATAAATCAATGGCATGGAAACAAAAACGAAGGGAAAACAGATTTAGAATAAAAGAGAGTTAAAAGACATAATTACCAAATGCAACATATGGACCTTGTTTCCATTCTGATATGACCAAATGTGCGTGTGTGTGTGTGTGTGCGTGTGTGTGTGTGTGTGTGTTTGAGATAATGACTATGTATTAGATAATGCTAAAGGATTATAGCTAATATTTTAGGTGTGATAAAACTACCATGGTTTAGATGGTGGTAATGCAAACCAAAATAAAATCAAAAAGTCCTCATCAATCAGAAATGCATACTAAGTTATTTACAGGCAAACTGACATAATGCCTGACATATGCTTTATAATTCTCCAGGGAGAAAAAAAGTGGAAATAACAGAGAGGAAACTGAAAAACAGTGAAAGAATAGATGGAAGAAGACTATTGGAATGTTTTTTAAAGGTAAAGTTTAGTTATGGGTACACAGGAATACATTATGCTTTTTTTACTGTAATTTTGAAAATATCCATAACATAAAGCAAGTCCACACACATGTATGTGCTTGCACACAGACACACACACACAGTGACTCCTCAATATAACTTCCTAAGGTTCATGTCATGGGACTACCATTAAACAAAATAGAAATTAAGATTACTGCATTAAATCCACTTGGATAAAGCCTAAAAAAGACCCAACTCATTAAGATTAAACTCATTAAGAGTCCAGCCTATAAGAAATAATAAAATAGTGAGCTGATTTCAACAACAGTTGAACATTTACTGAGAACTTACCATGCTTATAGTAGCAAAAAAAAAAAAAAACTTGATAAACTTTAGGAGCAAAAGATAACATATGGTTCCTCTCCTCATGGAGTTACAAAATAATGTCATAACACATGTTTTATGCATGTAGAAGGTGCTGTGAGAGTACATTCAGAGAAACACTTGAACTAGAAAGGCAGCTGAAGAGAAAGGACAGAGAAGACTTCACAGAAAAAATAAAACCCTATGTAAGTCCTGAAGAATGAAGAGGAGCTATCTGGCTCAAAAGCAAGATTATATACCTTTCAGACTCCAGAGAAAGAAAGCAGCTTGTCCAAAGGCCCTGGAGGTTAGAGAATGGACTATAAGAAGAGAAAAAGAGAGGGTTTTAAAAAGTAACAAGAAACTGTATGCCATGCAAAAGAGTCTAAGCTTAAAGGCAAAAGGAAATTAGCAAAGATTTTAAACACCAAAATGACTGCATCTAGTTTTCATTTTTAAAGGGCCACTCTCACTTAGTATGAGGAATAAATTATACACTAAGACTGGAAGAAAAAGAACAGTTAGGATCTCAAATAATATAGATAAGAAATGAGAGTCTAAGCTAGGGTGGTCTTAACAGGAATGGAAAAAGTGAGTAAGATCAAGGCATTAGGGAGGTAAAATCTGTAACGTGGTAATTTGTTACATATATAGGATAAAGTAGTGAGAGGAGTCAACAATGACTTCTAAGTTTGTGGCTTATTCAATTGCACTGATGATGATGTCATATACTGAGATAAGAAAATAGGAACTGGAATTTATTTAGGAAAGAGGAAATATCATTTTCAGTTGTAGATATGGTAAGACTAAGATGCCTAAGAATTTTCCAGATGCACAATATCTGGTAGGAATCTGGGTACAGATCTGGCAGTCAAGTGAGTGATATGGGTTAGAGAATTGTCAGCATACAGCTGAAGCCACAGAATTGGAAGAGATCAGTCTGAAGGACATAGGACAGACAGAGGAAGAGAAGTCCACAAAGGAGGCTAAGCAGGAGAGACCAGAGAACTGAAAGAGAACCTGAAGTAAATAGTGCATGGCCACAGAAGATGAGAGTTACAATAAGGACGAATGGATCAACTGTGTCAACTGCAAGGTAGAAAATGAAGTTAAAGAAGGGAGTTTCCATTGGATTAGGGAATTACATATTTACTGATGACTTTTGACAGAAAAAATTCAGTGAAGTAGTTGGGCAAGAAGCCAGATTACAGTGACTCCCAGAGTTGGTAGAAGAGAAAGAATAAGGGTCTTGAAGTATATTCTTTCAGGAAGAGTTGCTATAAAAAGAAAGCAAGCTATACTATGGTAGCTAATGGAAGATATAGGCCAGGGAAGTTTGTTTGTTTTTTAAATAAGAGAGTTTATGTTTAAATAATGATGAGAAGCAGTGATTCTTCTACATGGTTAAAATGCACTGAGGTAGGGCAACAAAATTTTTTGCAGTTGAGTCTTAAGACTGAACAAAAACAAATCCTTCCTTACATGGAAAGATATGTTTGACTATGCTGTAGATATCCATGAAAATATAAGGAACACCCAAGATATTGTTCTAGATTAAATAATACAACTCATTTGTACTTGTTCCCTATAATTCATTTCAATAAAGGCAATATTAGGAATAATGATTTTCAATGACCACTCACTGGACACCTACTATGTGCTAGACGCTAAGGATAAATAAGACATACTCGCTTTCAGATACTCACAGTCCAGTTGAGGAGATAGACACATAAATGCCAATCACAAAACCACTTAAGAAGTGCCAAAATACAAGTAAGCACGAGGTATAACTGGAACATTTTAAGGAAAACAAGATAAGGGAATCTAAGTCAAAAATTTAATGACAGAAGTACCTACCTTTATATTTCACTTTATACAAATGAAGAAAAATTTCTCAAAGTAGAGAAAGTTAAAAAAAATAAAATGTTTAAGGTTAGCAAGGGTTAAAAGAAAATATCCAAAATCATAGAAGATTCATAGACAACCTAAATTCCCTGAGGGGCCAAATTACTAGGCTGAGGGCTGGGGACCATGGTCTCAGGGGACATCTAGCTCTACTGGCATAACATAGTTTATAAAGAAAATGTTCTACATCCTACTTTGGTGGGTGGCATCTGGGGTATTAAAAGCTTGTGAACAGCCATCTAAGATACTCCATTGGTCCCACCCCATCTGGAGCAAGGGAGAATGAAGAAAACCAAAGACACAAGGAAAAGATTAGTCTAAAAAAGGACTAATGGACCACAACTACCACAGCCTCCACCAGACTAAGTCCAGCACAACTAGATACCGCCCAGCTACCACCACCAATTGCTCTGACAGTGACCACAATAGAGGGCCCTGGACAGAGCTGGAGAAAAATGCAGAACAAAATTCTAACTCACAAAAAAAGACCAGACTTACTGGTCTGACAGAAACTAGAGAAAGCCCGAGAGTATGGCCCCGGGACACACTTTTAACTCAGTACTGAAGTCACTCCTGAGATTCACCCTTCAACCAAAACTCAGACAGCCCATAAAACAAACAATAACACATGTAGCTCAACCATGTAAATGAGACTAAATGGGTACATCAGCCCAGGGGCAAGGACGAAAAGGCAGGACAGGACAGGAAAGCTGGACGAATGGAAATGGAGAAGCTAAAGTCGAGAAGAGGAGAGTGCTGACACATCATGGGGTTGGCAACCAATGTCACAAAACAATTTATGTATTAATTGTTTAATGAGAAACTAATTTGGTCTGTAAACTTTCACCTAAAGCACAATAAAAAAATAAATAAATAAGAAAAAAAGACAATATCCAAACGGTAAAACTGTATTTAAAAATATGTATCTAAAACAAATTACACACAGGACTAAGTGACTAGAAAATAAAAAGTAATGATTAATAATGGAGTTTCAGTACTAAATTAAGTAATTCTTTACTAAACCTTATATGCATATACCAGTATGTACATGTTTATGTGTGTTTAATTCATACTCACCCAAGATGAAAAATTAAATATTTCTGAATGATTAAAACAGGTTACCTATCTGGAAGTATTAGTATGAAATTGAGACTCATATTAAATAAATATGTATATACTGCCCTCATGGGGCAATAATATGTAATTCATTAAAATGAAAGCAGAAAGCATAATGGACTCCTTGGATACAATTTATTCCTAATTATCCTAATCTATGAAGAAATGGCATTTGTGTGTCTAATAAAGTAATGGGTCATCTAAAAATCATTCATACACATACTTCTACTTATGCCAAGTCTCCTTCCTGGTTGGGGAGAGTTATCTTTGTATTTAGATAGGTGTAGGGACTGTTAGGTAGCCCTGGATCAGAGATTCTATTCACGGATAATTTGCAAAGTTGACAATCCATGAGTGAACAATCAAATCAGCCTTTAAATGCCATTAAATAGTCTTCCTTTCCTTTTTTTTTTTTTTTGGTCAAATTACATTTTTTTTTATTATTTTTTTTATTGTACTTCAGGTGAAGGCTTACAGAATACAGAACAAATAGTTTCTCATGAAACAGTAGTACACATATTGTTTTATGACATCGATTAACAACCCCACAACATGTCAACCCTCTCCCTTCTTGACCTTGGGTTCCCTATCACCAGCTTTCCTGCCCGCTTCTGCCTTCTGGCCCTTGTCCCTGGACTGCTGTGCCTCATTAGTCCCATTTGGTTTTATGGGGCTGTCCACTCCCCGGCTGAACGGTGAACTTCGGAGATGACTTCACCACCGAGCTAAAAGGTTGTCTGGGGGTCATACTCCTGGGGTTTCAAATTACATTTTTACAACCAATCTCAGATAGTAGCATTTATAAAAGAGAAAGATTAAAAGAAAATGATGACTTACAGTGACACATGTTGGGACTTCACGAAGAGAATATTCTGCTTTATTAGGAAGTTCTTGATTGCCTACTAGCTCATAAACAGCAGGATAGGATAACAAGTTCACCAGTGCTAGAAAAGACTAGGGGAAAAGAAAGAAAACTAAATGTTCATTTTTTCAACAACATCCACAGAAGAGCAATGAAGTTTTATAGCTATATGATATAAAGATTTTTTAAATAAACCTAATTAATCCACATAAATGAAATACATACACGTCTGACAAGCACAAAATACCTAACATGCACAACAATAATCTATTTGTCAATAATGTGTTATATGTAACAACTGTTACAGAACATACATGAGTTGGAAAATGTTTCAAAATACCATGTATCTCTTGAAAAGTTTGGTTCTCAGAAAAAAATGAACTGATCCATCTTTCTCATTTTTTGCACTGTAATAGGTGATGTATAAGAGAACAATACTTAGTGGCTCTGGGAAAAGTTAATGAATCCTCTATCTTCTTGCCGTTAGGCCACTTAGCTATCTTTTAACTGCATTCACTGGAAATCCAACTAACCTAGGTATTATTGTTAATTTTAAAAAGCTATGGCTTTTCTAATCAAAAAGAGGTCACTTTCCAGTGCAATCTTACCAAGTTAATCTTTCTAGGGAATTGTTAAGCTCCCCACTCTCATTTCATCTTATTAAAAGCAACTAGGATATTTTTCTGAGGTACATTTCATTTTTTTGCTCCCCTGCTCAAAAGCAAGCAGTGGTTGCCCATCACTAAGCATCATATCTAAACTCCTTAGGATGACTCTCAAGGCACTTTGCTAATTGACACCTTTCTTTGGTTCACAGTCTCAAAAGCCTCATTTTCCCATTATTTCTCAGCATGAAGCTGCCACTTCAGTCAATCAAATCTGCCTGTGATCTCCTCCAACTGACTGCCACATGTACATAATTTTCTTATCCTACTAACATGCACTTCCTATCCTCCCATTTTTTCATTATTCCACTTTCTCAGCTTTCAAAAAGTTGGCCAAAACATCTTTTCTGAAGAATTTCCAGTTAACTTCATCCTCCTCTGGAAACCCTATATTCTCTCAATACTTGCATGTTTAGTTTGTATTATATTAAATTGTACTTATTTGTAACTATTAATTTTTCTGCTTGTTCTTTTTTTCCCTAAATTTCCACTAGACTCAGAAATTTTGAGAATCAGAAAAATTGAGAATTTCCACTAGAATCAGTATACTGAGACTATTAAAAAGAGCATCTAATTCAATCTCTCATTTAATAGAGGAGGAAGCCTGAGGTCCAGAGAGGTGAAATGACTTGTCCAAAGAAACACATTCAGAAAGTTGGTAGAACAATTAAGATCAAGATCTAAATTTTCTTATTTGTTTTGTGACAAGGCTATGGGTGCTCATTCCAAATCACAATATAATCTTCAGACACTATTTAACAGTGCCAGCCTTGCTCCACAATTTATGCAGAGCTAAATAACTAAATTTGAGGACCTGGAAGGCAGAGTCCATTTTATATCACCCACTTGCTATGGCAAATGCAACTTTATTTAACAAATAAGAGTGGATATAGTGAATTGGTAAAGCTACAAAAGTCACAATGTTCATAAAGATGGCACAGGACTGGGCAACGTGAGTCAGAGCTGACTTGATGATGATTAACAAGAACATATAGTGAGTATATTTAACACACAGTAGTTATTTAACAAATACTGTTGCAGGATGAAAAATGAACTCGTATCATGTTTTTTAAAAGCTTCTATTTTTTTCCATAATGCAATATTTCATAAAACGAAGACAGAATTTCTAACCAATTCTAAGAAGAAAATAATCTATATATTCACAATTTAAAGCTATTTCTATTTGGATAGTAGTAAAGACATGATAAAATAGAATAACTAAATAAATTTAATAATCTAGTTACCACTTACTTGTTGCCTATTTATAGAGAACACTACACTAGGAGTACGCACTATAGGGAAGAAAGCAAAAGAACTGATATCAAGGGAAAGAATGTTAAGGAATATGTCTATTAATTATATTTAAAATGAACTGCAGGGAAACAAGGTTTACGGCCACCTAGAAAACCACTGTAAAAATTAATTAACTGAACACTAAAATGTTGTCTAGGACGATGGTTAATAAAACATTTCATTACAGCTTTTTTAAATCTCATTTGTCATGAAAAATACACATCAACATGTTTATAACTTAAATATGCGAACATTTCATAATGTTCTTAATACTAATCCAGTAATCTTTAAATACTATCATAAATAAACCTTTTATGTTGAGTATATTTCCTATTTATTGTTATAACCATGACAGACTACAAAAAAGCTTTTAATAAATGTCCATTTTGATGGAAAGAGCATAAGTCTTTATTAATCACATATATTAATAATATATTGAGGGTTTTCACATTATTTTCATGTAAAGAATTCCATGGTGTTTATGAACCTCCCTCTGCCTAAGAAACTAACAAAACAATCTGGATCACATTGAATCATGGTAGCTTCTGATATGCTACTCTAAACAAATTAAGTAGAACTTTCGATGAAAACAATTCAATAATTGTATTTGGATTAAAACAACCTGAACAGAATTTTAAAGAGACTTGAGAAGATTTCATCAACTTGTTAGTAGGCAAAATAAATCCATTTTCACACATTTGGAGTTTTTTAAAGACATTAGTATACAACAAAATCATTACGTGTCTAACAAGCACTTCAGGAACTCAAGGAAATATTTACAATACAATCTTTGGTTCCCACAAAAATAACATCATAAGATGTTGGTAATATCATATGTTAATTATCCTAAAATTTATAGTAGCGATGAAACATAATTCCTCTTCATCAATGTTTTGAAGAGAAAAATGTGGTTTTGTATAATAATGATTAAAAAAAAAACTAGTCAAAGGTTCAATGTTTGCTGTATTTTAAGACTAAAGCATAAAATGAATTATTCAAAGACAAGAATTTTTCTTATGAATTAAAAACCTTCATGTTGATAATGATCATCCATTTACTTATTCATTGATTCAAAATATTTCAGTACCAACTGCTTCCCAGGAATTGTGTCAGATGCTAGGGATATAAATATGAATAAGGAATGGTCCCTGGCCTCAAGGACTCACAGTGTAGATTAGGATACATACACTATTTGATTATTTAAAACAGTGCCCTAAATGACCTGATGGTATTGCACTGTGGAGGGGGAGGGGATACCCAGAGGATGACACTATAGGGCAAAGCAGAGAGAAGAAACACAGCTGCAGAAGTAGCAGGCATGCAGGCAGGAGAAGGACATGTGTTAGGTTAATGAGCTCAATCTTTATCCTCTAAGAATGCTCTGAAGAAAAATAGTTTTAAGGGTAGACAATATTTGGGAGAAAAGAAACAAATCAGGATTTAGAAGTTTTAGGAATGACAGATAACACCATAACTCAGTTTATCAGACATGCACTAAAAACATGTCCAACTGATGGAGTAATCAGAAAGTGACCCAAACAGGTAGTTTTGGCAGAATGCAACATTGAGGAGGAAAGGAGAGAAGTAAAGAGAGTATGTATACTCTTTAAAGTAGTTCAGACAAGAAGGGGAGAAGGAAGACTGGGTGAAAAGAACAGTTTAACTGCTACCATTATAGGAGTCCCTGGGTGATACAGTTAAGTGCTCGACTACTAGCCAAAAGGCTGGCGCTTTGAATGCATACAGAGGCACCTTGGGTGACCTGCTTCTGAAAGGTCACAGACTTGAAAACACTATGGAGCAGTTCTACTCTGCATACATGGGGTCACCATGAGTCAGAATCGACTCGCTGGCAACTAACAACAACAACAAGCTACCATTATATAAACACTTACAGTTTTGGTTAAGTACTGCAGTACTCATATTTATGCATATTACCTCCTTTAATCCTCAATATAAATGTAAGATAAGTAGCATACTGAGAAACAGTTGGCATCTGAAGGCAAGTGTGGTTAACTCCAAAGTTTTTGCTACAAAATAAACCCCTAAAAGATACTAGGGAGAGCTTAGATTTGGGAAGAGGGCCTTTCGTTTGGCTGGGTTTTGATATCCGGATGAAATAATCATACCATCTTCAAACAGACAGTTCTACCTCACTGTTTCCAATCTATATGCCTCTTCTTTCTTTTTCTTTACTTATTGTAAAATGTTGAATAAAAGTGGAAAGAGTGAACCAATTTTAGGTTCAATATTTCACCATTAAGTATGATGTAAGCTGTACATTTTTCATATATACCATTTATCAGACTGAGGATTGAATTCGTTGAGAGTTATCATAAATGGATATTAAATAGCACTGTTTCTGTTTAGAATGCACAGGTGGTGCAAACACTTAATGTGCTCAGTTGTTAATCAAAAGGTTGGAGATTCAAGTCAACCCAGAGACACCTTGGAAGAAAGGCCTGGTGATTTACTTCCAAAAACATGGGACACTGAAAACCCTACGGACACACATCATCAGAGATGACTCAATAGCAACTGTTTTTTTGTTTGTTTGTTTTTCTTTCTTGTGATATGTACAATTTGATAATATTCTGTTAAAGATTTTTGGGTCTATCTCCATTAGCAATATTAATTTATTATTTAATCAAATATTTCTATGTCCCATTCTCTCTTTCTTGTCTTTCTGGCATTACAAAATAAATATATGTTAAACTTTTAATATGGTTCCACAAATCACTGCAGTTTTTTTGTTTTCTTAACTCTGTTCTTCAGATAATTAGATAATTTCTATTGATCTATCTTCAGGTTCACTGACTCTTATGTCACCTTTAAATCTTCTGTTAACTCCATCCAGAAAATTATTTATTACAGATAATAGGTTTTTTTTTTCAGTTCTAGAATTTCTAATTAGTTCTTTTATATAGTTGATTTTTCTCTGTTAAGATTTCCAATCTGTTTATTCATTAAATCATATTTTCTATCACATTCTATTTATAATAGCTACTGTAAAATTCTTGTGTAATAATTCCAGCATTTTCATCATTTCACAGTCAATCTTCATTATTTATCTTTTTCCTGAGTATGAGGCCCATTTCCCTGTTTCTTCATATGTCTAGTAATTCTGGATTATATCCTGTACATAATGAAGAGTATGTCGTAGAGATTCTGGTTCTGCTATATTCCCCAAAGAGTGCAGTTTTTTGTTTTGTTTTTTTTTAATTCAGCAGTTAATTTGGCTGAGTTCAAACTCCAAAGTCTGTCTCTGTGGTAGGTAGCATCTGATATCTCTATTAAGTTCAATGCATAGTTCAGGGGTTAGCTATATACTTGGGCAGGGGATACGTAGAGTGTGGGGCGCCCCCTCTGTGGTTCTTTCCTTTCTAGGGACCTTCTCAACTCTCCAGCTAATGTGTAACCCTACATTTTGTCTCTGAATCTTCAAGCATGTTGGATTATGGGTTTCTATCTGTAGAACTGGTACTTGCCTCAGGCAAAAATCTGTTCAGTTCAGAAACTCAACCAATGTCATTCTCTTCATCCTCATTTTTTGCCTGTTGTTGGTCATCCCAGTGCATTCAAGCAGTTGATTTTTAAATTATTTTCCTAAAGTTTGTAAGCGTTTTCTACAGGAGAAAACTAATCCACTATTAGAGAACAATGCCTCAAAAGTGTTTTTTGATAAATTTATGACACTATGACACCTTTTGAATGAACTACCCAGGCTACCACAAAGTCTAAGTTAGCAATTATCATTTCATTTTTATAAAATTTGGAGAATATGTTAAATATATAAAAGCAATTGAATTATAAAAGAATACTACATGGGTGCTTCAGAACTCTTTTTTTACCATGTTACTCTAAATGATAGTATCTTTCCTCTGCTCACTCCTTTCAAAGAATCCTAACAATTTCCTATTAAATTCAATCCCTACAGCAAAAAACTACTTCATTTCTTTGTTGCATGATTGTTTTTTGCTTGTTTGGTTTGTTTTGGTTTTAGGTTGTTTTGTAACATGCCTGGTATGCTATTACTCTTTATTAAGGGTGAAAAAATATAATAAAAATAACATGAAACAAAAACATCCTTGCAAAACATAATTCCCAGAGAACAGTGGTATTCCTATTACTCACTAAATTTATTTTGAAAAGGAAAAAAAATGATTTATAATGCAAAGAAAGAGGGGAAAAAGGAGAAGCTGTTGTTTGCAATTGAACATAAAGTGTGGATGAAGTCATTTCTGAGATATATACTTAAATTCTACACATTACTGGACAAATCTAATCACTTCTTACCTTTTGACAGCTTCGGTCAATAGGATCCACTGGAGTAGATCTAGGATGGGCTACCCTAACATCATCTCGTCCACATTCCAGATTGGCCCATAAATCAGTTATAAGTGCATTAATGAATCCTAAGAAGAATTATTTTATTATTTTATGTCATATTTATAGTATTAATATTTCCTTGGATTATAAACTAAAGATATGAATATTCCTCTGGCAAGTCTGGTTCACACTGACATGAGACAAATCCTTGCATCTTATATAAAAAATAATCTTCTACTCTTGGTAGAAATTATATCTGCTATTATTAATATACCTTTATTATATCTTACTATTAATAAAACTGTGTAATGACTAAATTCCGAAAGGCGATTTTCCTGGAGAATTGTTGAATTATGAGTGCCAGCTTTTATCCTTCGGCCAAAAACTTCTCTGAGCATGTTTTTTTCTGACAAATGATAAGGTTACATTTTCCTCTGCAAATGAGCCAACAGTGTAAGGCAGCCTAAAAAGGTATACATGTGTATGTGTTTGGGAATGGTGAGGGGAAAAGGAATCAGAAAGCAGGGTAGGCATCTTCTTGTACCCTTACTCCAATATAATTATTATTTTTTTCATAATTCTATATACTTAGAACAATTCTCATTTCACACATTTTTGCCTCAATATAGTCTAAATTCTCATGAGTCAGATACTACATATCTAAATGAAAATATTAAATTTGATTATTAAATTCCTCTACGAAGAATCAAATCATAATGAAAAGTGCAAAAACATAACATCCGTAAATGAAAAGTGTAAAACCATAAGAAGTTCAGGATAACAATATTAGAGCAGAAAAGTGCTTACAGCATAATAAAAAAAATACGGGGTCTGGACTCAAGAATTCCAAATTTCTAATCTACTAGTTTATGAATTGTATATCCTTATTCAAATCCTTTGACTTCTTTTAGACTTGGTCTCCCCATTTGAAAATGAAAACAATAATGCTAAAAATCAAGGACTGTTGTGAAGTACAAATGGGATGATATATGTAAAGTTCCTAATATAGTACCTAAGACATTGCAGGAGCTCAAGCAGTATTAATTTGTTTTTATTTGTGCTATGTTGTTGCGGTACAGACCATCAATTGCTCATATGCAAGCTCAAGTTGAAGCCAAAGAAATGTGGAACAAGTCCACGAGAGCCAAAGTACAACTTTGAGCATATCCCACCTGAATTTAAAGACCATCTTAAGAATAGATTTGATGTGTTGAACACTAACGATCGAAGACCAGACGAGTTGTGGAATGACATCAAGGACATTGTACATAAAGAAAGCAAGACATCATTAAAAAGACAGGAAAGAAAGACCAAAATGGATGTCAGAAGAGACTCTGAACTTGCTCTTGAACACTGAGTAGCTAAAGCAAATGGAAGAGATGATGAAGTAAAAGAGCTGAACAGATTTCAAAGGTCTCCTCAAGAAGACAAAGTAAAGCATTACAATGACATGTGCAAAGAGCTGGAGTTAGCAAACCAAAAGGGAAGAACACACTTAGCATTTTCAAGCTGAAAGAACTGAAGAGAAAATTCCAGCCTCAAGTTGCAATATTGAAGGAATCTACAGGGAAAATATTAAACAACACAGGAAGTATCAAAAGAAGATGGAAGGAATACACAGAGTCACTATACCAAAAAGAATTGGTCGACGTTCAACCATTTCAGGAAGTAGCATATGATCAGGAACTGATGGTACTGAAGGAAGAGGTCCAAGCTGCACTGAAGGCACTGGCGAAAAACAAGGCTCTAGGAATGGATGGAATACCAATAGAGATGTTTCAACAAACAGATACAGCGCTGATAGTACTCACTCATCTTTGCCAAGAAATATGGAAGACAGCTACCTGGCCAACCGATTGGAAGAGATCCATATTTATGCTCATTCCAAAGAAAGGTGATCCAATAGAATGTGGAAATTATCAAACAATATCATTAATATCATGAGCAAGTAAATTTTTGCTGAATATCATTCAAAAAAAACTGCAGCAGTACATGGACAGGGAACTGCCAGAAATTCAAGCCAGACTGAGACGAGGACATGAAACCAGGCATATCCTGGCTGAAAGCAGAGAATACCAGAAAGGTGTTTACCTGTGTTTTATTGACTATGTAAAGGCATTGGACTGTGTGGACCATAACAAATTACGGATAACATGACAAAGAATGGGAATTCCAGAACACTTAATTGTGGTCATGAGAAACCCGTACATAGACCAAGAGGCAGTCATTCGAACAGAACAAGGAGATACTGCATGGTTTAAAGTCAGAAAAGTTGTGTGTCAGGGTTGTATCCCTTCACCAGACTTATTCAATCTGTACGCCTAGCAAATAACACAAGAAGTTGGACTATATGAAGAAGAACGGGGCATCAGGATTGGAGGAAGACTTGTTAACAGCCTGCGTTATGCAGATGACACAACCTTGCTTGCTGAAAGTGAAGAGGACTTGAAGCACTTACTGATGAAGATCAAAGACTACAGCTTCAGTATGGATTACACCTCAACATAAAGAACGCAAAAGTCCTCACAACTGGACCAATAAGCAACATCATGATAAATGGAGAAAATACTGAAGTTGTCAAAGATTTCATTTTAATTGGATCCACGATAAATACTCACAGAAACAGCAGCTAAGAAATCAAATGACGCATTGCATTGAACAAATCTGCTTCAAAACACCTCTTTAAAGTGTTAAAAAGCAAAAATGTCACCTTGAAGACTAAAGGTGCGCCTGACCCAAGCCATGGTGTTTACAATCACTTCATATGCCTGCGAAAGCTGAACAATGTATAAGGAAGACTGAAGAAAAATTGATGCCTTTGAATTACGGTGTTGGTAAAGAATATTAAATATACCAAGGACTGCCAAAAGAACGAACAAATCTGTCTTGGAAGAGGTACAGCCAGAATGCTCCTTAGAAGCAAGGATGGCGAGACTTTGTCTCACATACTTTGGACTTCTTATCAGGGGGGATCAGTCTCTGGAGAAGGACATCATGACTGGTAAAGCAGAGACTCAGACCCTCAACAAGATGGACTGACACAGTGGCTTCAACAACGACTGAGAAGATGGTGCAGGACAAGGCAGTGATTCTTTCTGTTGTACATAGGGTCGCTATGAGTCGGAACTGACTTGACAGCACCGTTGTTGTTGGGTGCTGTCGAGTCAGTTACAAGTCACAGCAATCCTACAGGTCAGAGTAGAATTGCCCCATATTATTTCCTAGGCTGTAATCTTTACAGGAGCAGATAGCCAGGTCTTTCTCCTGTGGAGCTCCTGGTGTGTTCAAACTGCCAACCTTTCATTTAGCAGCTGAGCGCTTAACCACTCCATCACCAGAGCTCCTTCTCTGTCCTATAAAAAAGTGCATTTAAGCCTCTCATGAAAAGTTTGATACTATGAAGCTCAGAGGCTTAATGATTTAACCAAGGGCATGAGCTGAGATTAACTCTAGACCCCAAATGCCTCCATTAACGTACCCCTGAATGCTACACTAAATCGGATTTTAAGCTGAAAAAAAAAGATGCAGTTCAGCTTAGAACAACATCTGCCAAGAAATATGTTTCATAATACCAGTACCGAAATTAGTTCAGTCAAAAAATAAATTTAAAAAACACTATAGGAAAATATTTTCATTTAAAGAGAGAATCAATAGTAATCACTGATGTTATAATTCATCAACTCTAAGCCTTGAAAAATATAGCCATAACATCTGTATTAGAGATGACATCTTGTCTCTGGTTAAGGATTTATGTAATCTTGAAATATGAAATATTAAATTCCTAATATTTTAAACTTCTTGAAAATCCAAGTGATAGTGGATAGTCCATACCAACTGCAAACCGCAAAGATAAGTGGTGAAGGTTAGTTGTGAGCGGGATGCTTTCAAGCAGGAAGGAGGACAGGGAAAAAGGAAATGGTATGCGTGTGTGATAACAATTACGAATGTAAATTTTGATGCATATATGTTACTGATAAGCTGAACATTAGGCAATACTGTAAGATGTACCAAGAGAGATGATGGTGTATTTTTTATTCATAAGATAAAGTCTAAGAGCATCAAGTATCTCTCAGTTCAGTTCATTATGTGTCATTGTTTTAAGGAGGAAAGAGAACAAGGTTGTATAGGTATATCATGGGGTGGGAAAAGTCTGAGAGGGATTTCATGGAATAAAAAGGAAACCCCAAAACTCTCTTCTACTTAAGGCCTAACTTGAAAAAAAGAACTTTAGAATATACATCTGATACTTGAACATGCCTGTTAAATTTTCAGTTGGCTTGCTCATTTTATTTAATTATAGTTTTAATATATAAGTGGTAACTTTGGTGAAGGGTATAAAAAAGAAAGAAAAAATGATGTAATTATAGTTCTAATAAAAAGAAAAATATTACCTGAACTTTGTAAAGCTATTGCACCTGCTGCTGTTGATGCCACTTGAGTAACCACAACTCCATAGCCAAACTTTTTATGCCTGCAGATCTAAAAACATAAATAAGGAACACCAATGAGATGCAAGAAAACACAGCATGCTCATACAGAGTTACCGGTTTTTATGATTAGAATACTAAACATTCCATCAAGTAAAAATGATAACAGCAGCAAAATAAAACAAAAAATTGTAACAATCAATGATTTGCACTAATACAATATTTTTGACAATCTTATTGCAGATCTTGGTTCTGGTCTCACCTCTAAAACTAAGTAGTTTTTTGATCTTGAACAAGTCACTTATCTTTTTATAAGTTAAATCTCTTCATACATAAAATAAGGAACTTAGACTAGATGAAGAGTAAGATTCATTACAACTCTAAATTGTATTATTCTGTTGTTTCACTTTTTAGGTTGGTGCCTTACATTTCCTTATTAATACATTTGTATTGAACGTCAGTTTGTTAACTAGGATCTCAAACAATTTGGAAAAAAACAATGGTATCTTTAAAGTGACAATTATTTTTAAAGACGATATGATTTTTGTTCCTATGAAAAGGCAGTTTTATATTATACAAAGAATTAATCTTTACCACTAATTCACAGATTTCTAAATAGCACTGTAGAAAACAGTAAGTAATTCATTATTTTACACAGAGAGTATTATGTATGTATTCATGATAGAAATTAAAAGAGAGTATATCTATTCATATAAATCAGAATAAGGAAATAACAGAGATGTTATAAAATGTTCCTTCTGAGGCTTTGGCTAAGAACATGTTAGTTTACAAAATGTTACACTTGAAACAAAGCATTTAGAATTTAGACATTTTTTCAACATTTCATTAAAAGGATACATTTTTAATTTCAACTTTTTAAAATATAAACTGTACAGTCTCAGATTTAATGTCAAAAACAAAAAAAAAGTAGTTAAAGAGAAACTAAAAGACTATGAGAAGGAATTATTCCTCCTGTTTCCTGTTACTTAACATCTATAAATTTGCCTTCCTTTTCCATTTTTATTAATCGTATTTCCCATTTTTCTTAATCTACAATCCATCAGTTCTGCAGTCAGGAGACACAGAATTACAGCAAAATATATATCTATCTTTCTCCCACTCTCCTTCCTCCACAACAACTAAAAAAACACATTACTCATCAATATCCCCACTGATTCTGCTGATTCAGATGTTTGCAGCCATAGGGGCTTCCCAAATTCATACTAAGTATGGAAAAGAAACAGCAGAGAAAGTCTTAGAGAAGCCAGAGATGCTTTACTAAGCAAGACTTCCCGTTCGTTAACACTGTCAAAGATAAGAAAAAAGAAACCTGGGTTCTAGACTTACTAGACTAGATTATTGTTTTCAAATATATAGAAACAAAAACGGAAATCTAAACTGTTAAACAGTATACAAGAAGAGGCTCAGCCTCACCACAGAGAAATGGAAATTAAAACAACAGTTCCATTTACACAAACTTAAAAAGTCTGAAAAACTTCTATATATTCTACAAGTAGTATACATATCCAAGGACAAAGCACATATCAAAAATATTAGTGTAGATGCCTGGGGCAGGGGAATGTATGCAAAGTGAAACAGAACTTTGAATCAGAAATGATAGAGGAATAAAAATAATAAAACAAGACAGGAAACTTTCATGGATAGATAGATGAGGACGGTATGTCATGAACTGAGGCATGTAAAGAACTAAATTCTCTCTACTCGAAGTCTATTTAAATAAACAAAATAAAAACATATGTTTCTATATAAGCAAGGATGGCAAGACTATGTCTCACATACTTTGGACATGTTCTCAGGAGGGATCAGTCCCTGGGAAGGACATCATGCATAGTAAAGTAGAGGGCCAGTGAAAAAGAGGAAGACCTTCAACAAGATGGACTGACACAGTGGCTAACAATGGGCTTAAGCATAACAATGATCGTGAGGATGGCACACGACCAGGCAGTGTTTCATTCTGTTTTACATGCAGTCGCTATGAGTCGGAACCGACTCGACAGCACCTAACAACAACAACACGTTTATACATAACAAACCTAGGATCATAAACTCATGAACTTATGTTCATACGTTTTATTTAGGAAGGAATGGTCAGGGCCCTCACTCAAGGACTCTTTATTCTTCATAAGCAAAGAAAACTCTAAAGAGTAAATTATTTTATTTATTATAAACAAAGGAGAAAATTACAATTGAAAAAAGTACGGGAGAAAGGAGAAAATGGTTTTGCAAGTAGGCAACCTAATGACAGCAAGAAACAACTGAGACAAGAGAGAAAAGAAAATAAAAGGGAAGGAAGAGAAGAGGTAAGAAAGGGAGGAGAAGAGAGGGGAGGGGAGGGAAGGAAAAAAGAAAAACTTTTAAAAGTGTACCTAAGATTCTAAAAAGCTCAAAAAGTCTGGGAGTATTTACTATGACAGCAAAAAGCTGAATACACGTCAATGACCTCTGAGAGTATCACTGTATTATGAAACAGAAAAATACTTTATTTTCTGAGAAAAGGTTAAATTATATTTTATATTTTATTTAACAGTAGCAATAATAGAATTCTTGTAAAAATATTTTTTCTTTTATTAATGAAATAAGAGGCCTGAACTTTCATTGACACACATACATTTGGATACCCAATAGGTTTTTTCTTGAGAAGTTTCACCCAGTTTCAGTACATCCAGATGTTTGATATCATATTTATAAAACATCTGGATGACTAACTGAAATTTTCAATTCCATCTGGTTGTTTTTCATCTTGTATAAGCATAGTCACAGATATCAACATTAATTCTCTAATCTTTCCCGAAAAAACATCAAGTTAAATATTATAATGTTATATGGCTTTTCAATTGAGGTTTAATAACCTTTTCACACAGAGAAAACAGAATAATGTTCTTATGGCCTTTACAACAACAAAAATTTCTTTGCTTGTGGCAGACGGTAATTCTTACCTGTAATTTTTTTGCATATCGGTTGAACATCAGTGTCACACATTCATTGATGGCACCTGTTCTTTGAAGAAGTAGTAGTCCTTTGGGAGTGGCAGCAAAATTTAGTAAATCATCTAATAAATTATCTTCCCAAACCATACTGAAACAACAGGTAAAAAAAAAAGATAGCATTTTCTAAAGTATACTCAAAACTGAAAAGAAAGAAAATATTTCAGCTTAATAAAACAAAACAAAACAAAACAAACCCATTGTCACTGAGTCGATTCTGACTCATAGTGACCCCACAGGACAGAGCAGAACTGCCCCATAGGGTTCCCAAGGCTGTAATCCTTAACGGAAGTAGACTGCCACAGTTTAATACTACTGGTAATTGAATTTATAGAATACACACTGGTTGCAAATTACTCAATAAATGCTTAATAAAACATAAAAGGCATGGTTTCTATGACAGTGAATTCTTTTATTCTTATGTATTCTATAACAGTAATTTTCCTTCACTGAATGAATCATTAACTGCATATGTCAGAATTTTTATTACACGTAGGTTCTCTCATCCATGCCTTAATTTCATTCTATTTTCCTATTATAACACTGCTGTGCCTGGATTTCTCAAGCCCCAACTCTCTATTCTATCTGTATTTTCTTTTCTTTATAATGTACTGTCTTCTGACTTTCTAAAATATATCACACATATTATCCTTTTTTTATTTTCATAGGTTTTCAATTTATTTTACTTTTGGGAATCACTTTTTTTTTTTCCTTCAGAACACTTCTTAAAGAAAAGTCAATTAACTTTCTCTAGAGAAAAAACTTGAAACACTGAGAAGGCACACTAAGATAAGGAAATTAAGGAGGGAAAACAGTCTCAAACATATCAGTATCCCCAAAATGTAAAAAACTTATACTCACCAAATGAAAAAAAAAGAGATCGGCAGATTGGATTAAAACACAAAATCTACTACTTAGAATGGTAGAAAGTAAGAGATAGAAAAAAATGTACGCTATGCTTGGCAGATACTGATATGCTGACCCACCTCCCATCTATAATCTTTTTCACCAACTCCCCATCCAGCCAAATTACTATATGTCAAATTCATAATACATTCACAAAAAAATCTAATAAGAAGAGATTGCTTTCTTAAATAAAAAGACAAACCACGATGAAAAGAAAGCTTTTGGCTCCTAGAAAAGTTGTGAAGTCTGGAGGTTTACCAGACACTGTGCAACCTTGCGGCAAAAAAAGCTCATATTAATGATGATGGAGAAGACAACAAAAGGTCTCAAACAGCATCGATACACCAAATACCATTCCTGGACACTGGCCTATAAATGAATTCTTGTTATATGAGGAAAAATAAAACAGATAGCCAGGCCTGTCTTCCGAGGCACCTCTGGGTGGGTTCAAACTGCCAACCTTTCAGCTAGTAGTCAAGCTCTTAACAGAATGGTAGATTTGAATGTATAACAACTATACTAGAAAAAAAAAAATTACCGTAAACTTTTAGAGAATTAACTATTGGTTGAGCCATTATACCGGTAAGGAAATGTGGAATTTTTTTTTAAGTTAAACTCTGTTTACCTAAAGGAAAAATTCATCTTAACATTTATAGAATATTCCTGAAAATTCTAATTTTTATTTTTTAACCTAAGTCACTCAATTATAAAATAAGAAGAGAACCCTAGAACACATCAAGAGACCTTTAATTAAAAAAGAAAAAAAATTCCCGTTAATCTAACTCCATATCCAATTGATATTTGAAAAGAAACATGAAGACACCTATATTAAAATTTGGTATATATACACTTATTTAAATAATTTTCCATTGCCAAAATATAATTAAACTACACTCTCACATATTTTGAAAAACCATAACTTAAGTATAAATGTACTTCATTGACATTTAAAAACATTTTACCTCCAATGAACTCTCCAGTTAGATTTCCAATTTTAACATTTGGTACATTTGGTAATTCTCTAAATTTTCTGGAAACATTACAATATGTTGGATTTCCCAATCCACCATGTAAATACAGAATGAAGCTAGCATAATAAATGTTGCTAGATTTTTAAAGGCTACAAATAAAGCATCATATGCTTGCTAAAGTTTCTCCTAGCTGTATACGTGTACATTTGATCTGTATGTATACATTTACCTTCCTGTAAAACATTTTTGCTATAGTAGTAAATTACATTATCATTTTAAACTTATTTCAATAACTGTAGAAACAGATGAGCTTAATTAATTGCACTTACATGTTTTGGGATTGCTGGCTTACTGAAGAAACAAAATCAGAACCCTCTACTGGGGTAGGAACTCTTTCTGATAGCAAACTTGTCTAAAAAAATAGCAGATTGATTTACATTATTCTTGTTCTTACTGACAGCATTACTCATAAGATCTCTTAAATTACAATTTCATTTTTTGATGTTTAATATAATTAAAATCAAATTTCCTTCAAAATTTAAGTTATTAATTAAATATCAGGAAAAGTAGTTAATAAAGCCTGTAATATGAAAAAGAAAGAGTACTAGTAATCTACTATACTGGATTATTGCTACATTATGATCTTAAGTATCTATAACAAAAAGAATAGTCCAGCTGTCTCTAAAAATTGCTTAGAAATAACTTCCAAAGAGGAATGTTAGTCTATAAAAGAAAAATTTATTTAAAGCCTCTCCTACCAGAAGAAAAAATTTTGTAGTGCCCAGTTATATCTTACTGTTCTACTAGGAGAGGAGGTACTAAAGTCATTCTGTGCCAGATTAAAAAGCATTATGTCCCTTTGGGTTTTGTGATGCTAAAGAAGTCATATTTCTCCAGCAAAATATTTTATCCGAAGTACAATACTACAATAGTGACTACATTTGAAATACAGATTTGCAAAGAGGAAAAAAAGAAGCTTGAAAATACTTACCTTCTTCCATGCCTTTGCTATAGATTCATGCAAACTATAAGGAATTAACACCTGCAAACCTTCACAAGTACTATATATTTGACGGCACACAGAAATAAAAGCTCCTTTAACCACAGGCAACATCTCCGATCCAGAAAAAATAGGACTATCTTCATCAAGAAGTTTTTTTGAAAACTGGGCAATTACGTGAGCACCTGTAGGACTAAAAGATACCTAAAAGTGATTCCAAGCTCAAATACTCTTAACTTCATAAAGTACTACCAAAAAGGCTAGCCTTGTCACAAAACCTCCTCACTCGGTGGGCTCTCTCTTAGCCCTTTCCCACACATGTCAATATTCCTGTTCCTAACAACATACAGATGTCTAAAAATGAGCACAGTTAGACTGCAGGAAAGAATAAACATAAAAAAAAAGCAATAAAATTATACATTTACAAAGTTATAGACTTCATAGAACCAGGGCCATATCTAAGTATTCTTAATTCTACAGTAAAAACATAATCCTGTTCTCCATCCCTAGCACTTGTTACCACCTTCTCTATCCCTTTAACAGGACTTAGTTCTCCTATCTCAAAGACTGGAAAAATTTTAATAACTCAAAACAATAGTAATAGATAAGTAATCATTTAGTAAATGCTTACAATATGTCAGACACTGTTCTAAGTATTTTAAATGCATTAATTCATTTAATCCTTACAACAACCCTATGAGGTATGTATGTTATTAATGAATTTTTACACACTAAGGAGTGCAGTCAGTTGTTACAGCTCTTTAAACTCCCCCTTGTCCTTTTCCCCATGCCATTGATCTTGTCTTTCATTCTTTATTTGGATAATTGCTTCACCATCGTGTTATTTAACTTGTTCCTCTAGTTCCCTATATTTTCTATAAATTCATAATTAGACCTCATGACTTGATTAGATTCAGGTTAATCTGGGGGGAGGGAAGGGGCAAAATAACTTTATAGGAAGTTGCTGCTGTGTCCTTCCTATTGAATGGCATCATGACAACCACAGTATCTGACTGCTCCAGTTTAGTAGTGCTAAAATCAGTAGGTCAGATGGCATCAGCTGGACCCTTCTGGTAAAAAGTCCTCTCATCAACATTTCACACAATGGTTTAGCATATATTGAAATAACTTCCTAGATCCACTATTTCATTAGAGGTTATCAAAAGGAGATTTTTGAATTATATCATTATTTTTGCATCTACTAGCTAGAATTCTTCTTTTAGTTACACTAAAATACAGTTTGTATTTTACAGAAAAGACCAGAAAAATGCCTGAATCTTTTTTTTTTTTTTTTAATCAATTTTCAAAGTAATGAGCTGGTGCCCTAACAACCTCAACAGGTAAACCAGTAAGTTTTAAGTATCTTTTTAAACCCACATTTTTTATGCACTTTATGTATTTCAATCCATATTAGTTATTTTTTGATCCTCAAATTGCCCATCTTCATCCAGTGGTAGGCCCCTTCTGGTTAGCGCTAACATACTTTTGACGCTATCCCTTTAGTCTTAGACAGCTTACTTGCTTACTCAAATGATAAGATATCCCAGGATCACCTTGTACATTTCCTGGCCCAGACTCTGAATCAACCATTTCTTTAAGGATCCCTGCCTCATCTTAGTGGGAAAAAATGTAGACTACAGTCTGGGTGCCAGCTCACTGTTATGCAGTTGTCGTTACTTCTAGGCCCTTTTGGTGGTAGTGCTAGAAAAAAATGTAATTTTTAAGAGAACAAAATGGTAAGTTTATACTTATATTTCCATTTTAAATTTAAGATTACAGGGTTTTATTTAACTCCTTTAATTTTCTATTTTTATCTTTTTTCTCTTATACTAAAAATCTTACCTCCTTATGACATTAACGTAATCACTTATTTGCTTTATCTTAGAAAATACAAGTAATAGTTTCAAAACAACACACCAATACTACTTCTAAAAATATATTGAATGCAGTTTTAATATTACTTTAGGTTTTTTTTTAATAACCTTAGAATATATCCCACTAGAAATGTTCCATTAAAATAATGTCACTTGAAGTAATTCTTTTCTCTGCATAGATATATCACTAACTTGATAGCTTAACACTTAAATTCACTTATTTCCATTTGTGTGCAGTTTTTAAGGACTGTGACTCTTTGTATTTTTTATTTAATTTTGTTTCAAATATGTAAAGCAGTTACACAATTCCAAAATCAGATCTAAGAAAAATAAAAGTATAATCGCAGGCATCTAACTTCCGTACCTGCCTCTCCACATTTTTCTTTCCCTTCCCTTAAAAGTAACCACTATTATTAGTTTTCAGTTTATCCTTCCATTATTCATTTTTTAAAAATATAATTCAATCTGGTTTTATTTTTCCATATCCCCCTCCCTTATACAAAAGGTAGCATTCTATAAACATCCTTCTGTCTGTTTTTTTAACTTAACAATATTATATCATGAAGATAACTCCACAGCAGTACACAGAAATATTCCTCATTCCTTTTTACATCTGCTTAGTGCTCCATTGTATGAACATAATTTAATCAACTAGCCTCTTATTACTGGACATTTCAGATGATTCCAGTGTTTTGCTTATGCCTATAATCAGAATATGTACTCTTAGCCACTGCACAAGGAGGACTCAGAAGAAATCTTGAAAAGTAAACTGGCAATATTTCAAAATTTAAAACGTACATGCTCTCTGACCCAGAAATACCACTTTCAGAAATCTGTCCTATTGAAATTAGGAAAAAAAAAGAAAAAAAAAAAAAAGGCTAGTAATAAGACATTTGAGAAACAACACTTATTATAGAGCTATTAATGAAGGTAAAACCTAGAAACAACCTGACGCCCATTAGTAGGAGAAATGTTTGAATAAATTAAAATAAATCCATACCGAAAAGTATTATAAAGCTATTAAAAATATTTTTTTAATTCTGTACTCCCCTGGAAAGACGCCAGGATTATACCTTTAAAAAAAGCAAAATGAAGGTAACGTATATATGATCCCATTTTAGCAAAGGGTAGATTAAAATTCTATAAATATCTATATATGTTTGATGCATCATTATAAGCACAGAATAAATCAGGTACATTTTACTTACATTATAATGTTACCACTGTTAAACCAGGTAATGGAACTAGGTGAGGGAAGAGAAGGAAGAAGGGGAAATAGTTAACTTATCCTTTGTACAGCTTTGTGTGGTTTGAATGAATCAATCATGTATAGCTTCAAAAGTTTAAAAGGGAAAGTCCAAGGAAGCAAGTAACGAGGGGCAAAAAAGGTCCCACTTAGAGTGGACCTTCCTATTCTTATTTTGAAATTATGGACATCTAGGTCTAATCCTTCCTGGTTACTCCTTCAATCTTCTAAAGGTCATCTAATATTTTACTGGTGGCTGGTCAGGAAACCTAACTGGAACAGTGATCCAGATATTCATTATTAATATACATAACATGACATTTTGGAAACTTTTAATCAAATAGAGAAAATACACTTAAAAAAACAACAAGTTATATAATGTAGGTACATACTTTTCTTCTTCGGAAGAGTTCACATTCTCTCCATAAAGAAGTAAAATAAGACCTTCTTCTGCAGATGCAATTTTTGCCAAAATATCAGCTACATGAATTAAAGCTGTTTCAGAGCAATGTGAAGCAGCCTGTACATTAAAAAGATAACAAGAAAAATCATATAATTTTATGACATGCTACATAACACAGACTAAAATTCAGGTGTGATACTGTCATTTAATAAAGTTATATTACCATAGCAAAAAAATTTAATGATTTGTTTGGCTGTAAAATGATATATATGAACTAAATGTGTCCTTAGACTATATGCTCATACCAGCAGAGTTGATGAGGCAAATAAATACATATTTTTCACTCAAATCAGTTATTGTTTACTAACATGGTTGAGAGAACTGCAGCTCATGTTAGTTTTATACATAATTCTGCTGACAAATGCAGTTGCTCCTTTATTTCTACTTTATCCTTTGTTGCCCACTCACTGGGCTCCTGTATATCCAATCAAATTATATTATACATAATGTATAACGTACCACTGTCCTTTATACGGAAAACCACCCCCTCCCACAGATGATTCAGTCACGAGTGAACGAATCAATGGGCTAGCCTGTGGCCAATGATGTCACTTTGTGAGAAAATATACGCTGAATCAATCATATTTCTTGGCTTTTGGGTTTTAAATGGAAATACTAAAACACCTCTGCCAATGTATATCAAAACAGTACAAAGCAAATATTGAAAACTGGGGAGTCATGTTAATACTGGAGCTCATAAAGAAGCCTAAGTCTACTATACTTCCTGTTCCTTCTAGGACCTGTATTTACCTGTACCTGGATGGATGTCAATGTACATATTCTCTATAATAAATCTGAATGTGTATCTATACCTTGCAAGTAATACATTCTCATAAATTCAGTGGGTTAGCATTATGAGTTAGGTATATTCACCTGGAGAAGGAACTTTAATATATTAGCCAGTTTTTACTTTTCACACTAAATATCTTTAAACACACACATACTTCTCTACCTAGAATGCTTTCCTTCTCTCTAAAAACAAAAACAAAACCTACTCCCCTATTAGAGTAGGTTCTTTAAAGGCAATTCATTTTCAGTTCTATATTCCCAAAATCCAGCACAGTGCTAATGATATGATTGTGGCTCAATGTACAATGCTGAATGTCTTAAATTAGATACTGAATGTCAACTATGTGTCAGAGGTCTGGTCCTAACCTCAAGAATAAATAATTCTAGCATAATATAAGTACAATTGAAGAAGTACATAATGTAGGAATATAGAGAAAGAACTATCTAACTTTGGGAGGGAGAATTGGGAGGAAATTTCATGAAATATTCATGAAATAATCTATAGTCTGAAGAGTGGAATTTTCCATGTAGGCCAAGTTTAGGATTTTCCAAGGTGAGGAAAAAGTATGCAAACACATGGAGATATAAAAACTTTTTTTTATAGAATGCAAATGGTCTATTATAACTGGAGTACATGGTAATAAAAATAGATAGAGAACAAGAAAATAGAAAACTTGGCAAATGCCAACTTAAAAGGTAGATTTATCCAGCAAGCAACAAGCAGGAAAGTATGTGGCAGCCCTGGTGGCAATATGGAGTACAGGCTAGAAAGCTGAAAAACAGGAAGTAGAAAAGCAAAGAAAGAAATTATTGTACATTCCAAGTAAGAATTATCGAGGCTTAACCAAAAGCAGAAGCAGTAGGGATTAAGAGAGATAAATGGATTTCAGAGATACGTAGGAAAACCAAGCTACAGGTGTTAATTACTAACTGAATGAAAAGAACGAAGAAAGAGTCTAAGTTGCCAACAGCCCTACATACCACAGAGGGAAACAGAAGGAAGCTCAGAGAAGTGGACCAGGAGCAGAAAAATACTACTGCTATGAAAATGTTGTGTTTGATTTGCTCATGGAATAACTCAAAACGGTGTTCATCAGGCAGCTACACACAAGGCTGGAGTAAAAAAAATCTAAATTTAGGAGTTAACTGTACATCTAATTCATTTAATGGAGAAAATTAACCAGTAAACGCATACAGAGAGAAAAGAAAAGTGAACCAAGTCCTCCTAAACTCCCCAGAGGCCTGAAAGTGGCACCCTCAGAAGTGACTGAGAAAAAAATGTTCAGAAAGGGAAAGAAAAGAAAGTTAGAAAGAATAAGTCTATGGAAGTCAAGTAAACAGAATTTCAAAAGTTGTCAACTGTGTTAAAGATTAGGTAAATACTGGTCTGATAAGTGGTCACTAATTAGCTATTTAGGAAGGTATGGGCAATGGCAATCAGAGCAGCACCATAATGCAATAATTTGAAAGATTATTAAGGGGCAAGGGCATCAAGGCAGTAATGACAACAACCAAGCTTAATACAAAGCTTGATCATTAAAAAGATCAGATATTAGATGGTAGCTAAAGATGCACATAGGGTAATCAAGAGCTTACCCATCCCAATTATAAGCAGACTTGGGCATATTCACAGGTAACGAGAATATGCAAAAGAAAATAAAAAGTTAAAGATATGAAAGTAAAGACACAAGCAGTAACTATGATGCAAGACATTTCTCAGCTCCAATATATGATTTACATTTCACAATATTATTGATACTACAACATTCTATTATGCCATATATTATAAATTGTATTTGTTTCTTCTCTGCTTAGCTTATTTTCCCAAGGTTGCCTGTAAGAGCATCAAACTAATTTATAATCATATTCACTTATAAATTTCCCAGAATTCCAAACCTAGTACTATACATTCACATAAATGCTTAAAATGTGTTTTCTTAATAAGTGATGACTAATGAAAGAACGAATGGATGGGCAGTTGCCCATCCCATGAAGAGACAGGGATATGAGGGAAATGAAACTAGTAAAAACACTACATGGAAAGACAAAAACCTTTAGCCTATCAATGAGCTTTTAAAAGTCATTTCCCAGAAGTCATAGAAATAGAGGGATATATTAGCCAGAGAGCAGGGCTTATAGTCACAGTACTAAATCTGTCACTTGTTAATGTGTGATCTTGAGCAAGTCACTTCTTTCAGCCTCAGTTGTGAGGATTAAATTATATCATGTAAAGGAATATACCGTGAAAATGTATACAGAGAGACACATATTTCAAAACTGGGATTGTAAATAAGCTTTGTTTGCAAAGTAATACAGTTGTTGAGTGCCGTCAAGTCAATCCCAACTCAGAGTCACCCTGCAGGACAGAGTAGAACTGCCCTATTGCATTTCCTAGACTGTAATTTTTACAGGAGCAGATCACCAGGTCTTTTCTCCTACAGAGTGGCTGGTGGGTTCAAACCACAAACCTTTCGGTTAGCAGCCAAGTGCTTAACCACTGTGCCACCAGGGCTCCTTAAAGTAATACTATTTCTTCTTAATATGAAACAGAGTTGGCTCTTTAGGAAAATAATCATATTTCCAAAGGCTATAAAATTACCATTAAAGCAAATAACAAAACATTCACAAGATTTATTAAGTTTGCAAGACAAATAGCTTTCTAATAAAGTAGAATAGAATTTTTCTAAGTTCTTCACATCAGCAGATCTAAAGCTGACTGGAAAAAAATTTTAAGAGGTTATATGTACTTTTTCCCCCCACAATGTCATAACTAATAATCAATTGACTGCATAAACTATGACTTAACTATAATAAAAATTTATATCAGTATAAAATACATTCATATATGGAAATAAACTGTAATGAAGTAATACTTCAAATATATCAAGTTTAGAAATAAAGTCCCATTGAATATTCACTAACATCCAGTTAAGAGAGACTCTTTTACTCTAGTAAATAATACCAACCTCAGTTCCTTTCATTAAATTATGAATAGGCTGAAGAAGTGCCTCTATCACAGTGTTGTTATATAAGCATTCAATTGCACATTCTTTTTGATCACAAAGTATCCACAGAACTTCAGTGACCATACTTGCAGGGGAGTAATTCTCTGACAAACGAAAAGCATTTTTAAATATGAAAACTTAAAACATTAAAAACTCAGTACTTTTTATTTATGCTTTAGATATTGCTGTCCCAAAAAGTTCAACATCAAGGTCAATTAAATAGTTCAAAAATCACAACTCAATTTCCAAAGGGTGGTGTATTACCAAAATTATAACCTGAACCTTAAGGGCTATCAGTTATCTTAATATATCTTCAAGTTAATCAAAAGCAGTAAATGACAATAAATATGAATGTCAAAAGACAAGAACATAAAATAATTTCACTCTTTAATGTTAAATTACTGCCTGACATTGAGGATGTGGTTTGAAGCAAACTCACAACTCTGTTCTCTTCCTAGAAAACACTTTGTTTTCACTTTCTTTCTTCTCTTAAATAATGTATTCAAGTGTTGAACCCAGCAGAAAATTGAACCATAGACATTAAAACCAGACTATCAGTGACCAAACAGAAGACAGAGAAGCGGAAACTTTTATGGAGTCTAGTATACTTCTCTTGTTACTATAAAACCAATGAAAAGAATGAGCGTTTTAAAGATTTTCTTTTAAAATATATACAGGAAAACATATAGACACATATAAATGTAACACTGGGAAAAGTCACTGAAAGATATATATAATAATATTTAGTTTTATAATTAATGTATTTTCAGATATTTGACCTCATAATGTCCCCACAAAAATAATTGAGGAAACTAAAGAACAAAACATAGTAATGTGACTAAGGTTAGGTTATCCCAGTAAGATATACCAAGAAAAGACTAGCACCAAAGTTCTTAATTTACATTATAATATTCTGTACTCCATGAACACAGTAAGGCTTCAAGCCAGTACTCGATAAAAAGAAAATGAAAAAGGAAGTTCCATGATTTTCAACCAGTTCCAGATGAGAAACGTTGTTTGCAATGAGAGATATTATTGATGAGTATATGGTCTGTCTTTCATCTAATCATCTATTATTTATTGTCTACTCTACGCCAGATACTGTACTAGGCATTGTAGACAGAGGACTAAATAAGATTAAAATGTCCAAAAGATGCCATTAACAAATAATTAAACAAAGATTATTTTTATGATAAAGTAGGCATGGAATATTGCAGAAACATATGGCAAGGGAACCTAACCTAGTACTTCACACATGCAAATGCTATACAGGCAGAAAACAGCCTCAGAACCACTGTTAGAATTAATAGCCTGTTATAACTGCATAGATAAAACCTACTAATTGATAAACAAGGTGCCTGAGTAGCGCAACAATTAAGCACTCAGGTGCTAACTGACAGGTTGGCGGTTCTAACTCACCTAGTGGCGCCACAGGAGAAAGACCTGGCGATATGCTTCTATAAAGATTACAGCCTAGGAAACTCAATGAGGCAGTTCTATTGTGTCACATAGGGTTGCTATGAGTTGGAATCAAGTCAATGGCACACAGCAACAACAGTTGATAAACGTATTATAGCACTAAAGTATGGCCCAAATCATTTTTTAATTTGATCCACTTGAGATCTTCTCAGATTTTGTGCCAGTATTTTTAGAGTAGCATCCAGTTTTAGAACGTTATGACTCTATGGGTTATGTAAGTGTTTTGTTATTAAACTCCTTAGTTTGAAAATGATTGGTTATTTAAAGAAAAATGTAAAAGTTATCTTTTAAATGTTAGCATATTAAAACATTTTTATAAGCCAGTCAATAGCTATAAGACTAAAAGGTATTTTACTGAAAACAGCAAGTTTATTGCTTTATCCTTCAGTTAAAAAACAAAAACAAAACAAAAAACCCTGATAAAGATTGAAGTTTTGGATGTCAGCCAAAACAAGCAAGCTTATCAAAATATGCAGGAAGGTATACAGACAGAATAGAGAGAAGCAAAAAAGAACACATTAGTAGCTCTCAATCAAACTTCCTTTAATATCGTTTCATGAGAACACACTGATATTTAAAAAGAACAACATTAAAATTCTCAGTGAAATTGATTATAAATAAAAAGGTAATAAGTTAGGAATATCTTAAAATATCAATGAGCAAAATTAAATCTCATGGCTTACTTCCAGGACCAATATAATTTCTTACGAGTAATACTGCATCTTCATGAAACCTATTTACTAAACTGAATCAGTGACTCGAAACATCTAGACAATAGAATATTTCAACACTTTCCAGATGTTTTCTATCTCTCTATTTAAACAAGAAGCAGAATTACCTGAATGTGCAGCTGATGTTGTCTTTGGACAACCTGGTGAATAATAGATAAGCTGGGTAAACAGAACCAGCAGATCTGTGAGGGATACTAAATCTTTAAAAAGGAAAAAGAAAAAGAAAAATTAGTCTCTAACATACACTTACAACTTAGAAAAATTTAACTGAGCTGCCATTCACCTACATGATTGAGTTTTTATAAAGATTGTCCCTGCAGTCAGGACTAAAAGGGATGTAGCTACGTACCCTAAAAGAGAATATGCCAAATTTCTAACTTTTAATAATCCATAGAAATGGGATGACTGAACTCAATTAGCATTTATATAATTTATATACACACTCTATTAAAAAATGCCCTATGTCACAGTATCTTTCTAGAAGAATTTTTAAAAGTATACATCATGTTAATTTTATGTGGTTAGCTCTCAGAAAAATATATACATCGCATGTCTATACAACTTGTCTACAATAATAACCTCATGTGTGGAAGCATAGCTTAAAAATCTTACGAACATGTTATTATATAATATATGAATATACTCATTTCTCCTAAATGCACTTACCTTTTCTATTCTTCAACTTCATAGGAAATAGCTTTCTGCCTTGTGTGTAGATCAATAACCTTCCTAAAAGGCACAGTGAGTGAATGAAATAAATATATTGTAATTCTTGTCCCGAGTAATAGAAATTTTTCTGTTTATTCCCTTAAAAGAGAAGTAGACAAGAACATTTATTTCAATGCCATTACATTTTACAGTACCTGTCTTCATCCCCTTCTGAATATTAAACAAGGTAACAATCTATAATGGAGACACTGTAAATGGAAATAAAAAGATATATTTATTTATTTTCCTTACAATTACCTAAGATCTTTTATACCTAAATCTCTGAGGGAAAAAAGCCATCATAAAATTTGGCAAGCCTCCCTCAGAAAAGTGTAATATGTATGAGTGTTCGTTCTAAAATAAATACCATAAGATTGTCAAAGTTATCATCTGTCATTATCAAAAGGGACTTCAAGAGTAAGTTAAGGTGGAAAGAAAGTTAATAGAAAATGTTAGTTACTATATATATTTAATTCTACCAATTAAATGCTAATACTCCAAAAGACCATATTTGTAACCATATTTGCAAATGAAATTAGGATATCTAAAAATAGACACTTTAAAATATATATCCTTCATTAACTCATTCATCCATCCATTCAAGATTTACTGAGTACCTATTTTATGTTGTTGTTGTTGTGAACGGTCGAGTCAATTCCAACTCATAGGGACCCTCTGGGACAGAGTAGAACTGCCCAATAGGGTTTCCAAGGAGTGGCTGGTAGACTTGAACTGCCGACCTTTTGGTTAGCAGCCTGAGCTCCTAACCTTTGCTACCAGGGCCCCATCTATTTTATACAAGACCCTAAACTATTTGCTGGTATGAAGAATCAATTAAGCGTAAGCAGTACAGAGTTTTTGTTAAGAGTGACAAAAAATTTGGAAAGGGATATAATGTAATTAATGTCACTGAAGTATACATGTAAAATAGTTGAAATATTTTGTTATATATATTTCACCATAATAAAAACTTTAAAATAAAAAAAAAAATCAATAAGAAGCATGAAACTGGGCTTTCGATTCACAGTATGGCAAATACGGTATGGCCAGAACATGGGGAGGGCAAACAGGAGAGACATTAGCCTAGAGAGTAGAAGGGGCTGATCACAGAATACTTAACCATAGAAGGAATTGGACTTTATTATAGAGGCAGTTGGGTAGGCATTAAAGTGTTCTGAGCAGAAGAGTAACAATCAAATATGCACTGTAGGAAACTGACGCTAATGGCAGCGTAAAAGATGGACTGAAGAAAGGCAACGTTAGAAACAAGGGGACTTGCTTAAAAATCATGAACAAACGCACGGTAAAAAGAATGGAGAAAGGAAGAAGCATTTTTAAAAAAGTTTAAGGAAATGGAATCAATGTGCCTTATCCAGGGATTACATGTAGGTAATGAAAGAATAACAGATGAAAATGTTCTCAAGATCCTAACTCAAATATCTGTGAATATGCTGAATTTTTCTTCTCTTTAAATAAGCATACAAAAAAAGTGGGCATAGAAGGGAAAAAAAAAATAGTATCATGAAGAAGAGAGAAAGGGTCAACAGAGTCAAATGCTATAAAATGAGAACAGGACACAGTAGAAGTTGATAATGGGAACATCATAAAGTAAAAGAAAGAGAAGCCTCACTTTTGTGTGTTGAAAAGTGAATAGAAGGTAAAGAAACAGGGTTGAAGAGTATATAGGATACTTAGAAGATAAGGTAAATAAGGAGCAAGAATTTGCACAATTTTTCAATACGAAAGACACATGAACAGGTTTAGAGGATGTAGGGGAAGGTTATCAATCAAAAGGGAGATGTAATAACTAGTCAAGTAATCTCCTGGTTCTGGAAAAAACAGAAAGGAACAGAATCACGAGAATGGATAGACGAATCTGGAACAGAAGAGATGCCTCTTCATTTTAGCAAAAAGAGGACATTGAAACACACATATAAAGATACATTTGTATACACTGGAGCAGAAAGTCTGGGGAGTTCATACTAGACAACTTCCATTATTCTCAGTGAAGTAGAGAGAATCGGGCAGGATCAACGCAGGGGACTTGATGAGACTTGGGAAGGCTTGCCACAGCTATTAGGGAATATTGAAGAGAGAACTTCTATGAATATTCCAAAGTAACACAAAGGGAGCAGCTGAGGTTAGAAAATACATATTTGCAATGTCAATCTACATCATAAATTCTCTCTGCTGAATTATCTGAGTACCAGAGAAGATGGATGACTGAACTGACATAAAGTTGGAGAACTGCAGGCAGAAAAATCAGAAAAGAGGAAAGAGCCAGAATTTTGAAAGATATGATAAAAGAACCTGCGATCTTCATTAGATAAGGAAGAAAGTAAAGCCATGAAGGGCTAATAGGCTAGGAGGGGGGAAAAAAAAGAGAGCTAAATATAGCCTTTTAATATCAAGAAATTAGGAAAAACTATAAATGTGTGATTGAGATAACTTATGTAAATTTATGTATCCTTTTCCTGTCCCTTCTCTTGAAGAATAAATACTGGCTTCTGGACTTCCTCCTCCTACACTAGCTTTTGAAACCTGTTAATTATTGGTCTTTGTCTGTTTTCATTGCTTTAAGTTATATAAAGAATTCACCCAAGGATAAGGAAAATTATAAGATGTCTTCATACTCTCAAAGAACTATTTGCTTAGAGAAGCAAATACGATAAAATAAAAGAGCGATAAAAAAATCAAATCTGCATGGCAAGTTGTGTAACATAAGCACAAGAGCAATAAAAATTCAGAATAGGTAGAAAAGTCTTCTTGAAAGATTTAAAATGAAGTCTATTCTTGCATGATAAATATGATACATATCAGTGTAAAGGTTAATGAGTAGGGGCAATAGGAACAGAACTGAAAAAGATGTATAAGCATAGGTATGCAGGAGACTTTGACAGTAAGAAGATTCACTTAATAACTAGGGATGACAATAAATAGAGAGATCAGGGACATATTATGAAACATTAAGGACATTTTAGCTCAGACTGACGATAAGCAGAGGGGAATCACAGGGTTGGGTGGAGGTATCCAATAATAAAAATATTTTATGGAATCTTCCTGCCACAGAAATGCAAAGTGGATTAAGGGAATGATATACTAGAGGAGGAACGAATGGGCAGTATATTATTACAGTATACCAGACTAGAAAACATACCCTAGCATGAATTGAAGAACTAAACAAAGGTTAAGAATCAGTAGGACTTATAATTTCAAAAGTAGATCTATTATACATAATTATCATTATGGTGTATCTTTAAAATTTGTGGAAAATATTGTGTATCATTAGCAAAGGTGATCTAATTTATCATGTTACCAATAACTATTAAAATAAGCGATTTTATTAATAAATTTTTACCATTTTTAAAGGTATGTAATAAAGAAAATAACATTTACCACAAAGCTTTGAATGTCTCAAAATTTCATCAGCTTTCATGGTCTCACACAATTCAAAGTACTGAACACACTGCTGAACTGCTGCAGTTATCTGAAAAAATAATAATAGCTTATTAATTCCAGAAATTTGTAGCCTACAAGTCCAAGTATTAAAAGAAATTATCCAAGGCCATAAAAATGCTTTGAAAAAAATATTTAAGAAAAAAATTTAATATATTTAAAATAGTACCTTTCCAAGCCACTGAAGCTCAGTCTCCCCAATTACATTTTAACTATGACAACATTCTGGAGAACACTGTGAAAATATTTGTGGACCAACAAATATAATCTCGCTATAACGTTGTTGTCTGACCAAAATAGGCATATACTTTACATTTTAGAGTGAAAGATGCAAAAACTCCCCCAGCTGCATTGTTTTGGAGTCTTTCTTCCCACCCAGCCAGCAAAATTTCAACTGGATATGGTCATGTTTAAATGTTACTGGGGGAAAGCCAGTAGAGAAGAAGAGTTCAACGACAGGAGAGAAAGGGAATAGCTGATGGGGGGAAAAAAAATGCTCAAGAGGCAGGAGCAGCTAGGACTCAAGCAGAGGGAAGGATCAAGCTTTACATGGGAGAAAGTGAAGGTTGTGTGGAGTGAGGCCAGTTTATAATTGTGGTGTCAAGGAATTGATGAATTTCCAATTCTCGTTCATTTTCATGACCTCAGTTATATACACACAAGAGTTAACATAGCAGACCTGAAGACTGCTATACTTAGAAAGCCCTGCTTGCTAGGTTGGCCCTGGGCTGGTATTTGAGAACTTAGATTTCAGGATTCCCACCATTCCCAGAAGAGATAAGAGTGGGTCACTATGCTTAAAGTGTTTGTTCTAACAATGTGGTTTATGGTGAACACCTGTTTTCCTTCTGGGAATCTAGAATTTTGCTATGCGCCAGGCAGAGGGTGTCCACATGATCAGCCCCAATAAAAACTTTGGGCACTGAGTCCCTAATGATCTTCCCTGGTAGATGGTATTTCACAGGTGTTGTCACAACTCATTGCTGGAAGAATTAAGTGTATCCTGTGTAACTACTCTGGGAGAGGGTTTTTGGAAGCTTGCACCTGGTTTTCTCCAGACTTCACCCGCATAAACCTTTTTCCTTTGCTGATTTCGCTTTGTACCCTTTTGTGTAATAAGTCATAACTGGGAGCACAAATATATGCTGAGTCCTGTGAGTCCTCCCAGCAAATCATCAAATCTGAGGGTGGACTTGGGGACGCCGTCCTGTATCCAAATGTCGTGGTTAAATCAAACTTCGGAGATCCAGACCATAATACAAAACTGCCTCCTGGAGAGCTGCACCTCAAACTCGGTATGACCAAACTTAAAGTCATCCTCTTTCCCAATCAATGTATCCCTCCTCATATGTTACTCATCTCAATAAATGACACTAACTACTCAATTGCCTTAGCCCTCACCCACCCCTCCATTCAAAAGTCAAGTCCTCTAAACTCTACATTCTAAATATGGTACTCCTGAATCCATATATGTATTTCCATTCCCACTGTCACAGATTTAATTCATGCATCCATCATCTTTTACTTAGAGTACTGTACAGCCTCTTAACCATCATTTTGCTTCAACAATTCTTCCCCATCTCCGTACACCACTTTTAACCCATTCTCCAAACTTTGTAAAACCTTAATCATGGTACTTTACTACTTAAAAACTCATCAATAGTTCACCATAGCCTTCAAATGAAGTCCAGTTCTTAAATATGACATATTACATACGGAATATCTTTATAATCTGACATCAGTTTATATTATTCCTCTTATCCTCCAGATGCTCCCCTCCCCAGCTACATATCTACAAACACATACAGACACACATCCACTTGTGTAACATCAGTCACTAAAAGCTAATTCAACATCTGACCAATTATTTGAACGACCAACTCACCAAAAAAAGAGCTCTGAAAACACCACCAATCTATCAATCAATACCACATAAATGTCGATTTTTGAGTGTCTCACATTACCAACAAACTCAGAAGCAGCTTTCCCTGAAATAGGTCTTTTCTATTTATGGACATATGCCTTGCCCCTGCTCATGCATGAATGAAACAAACTAAGGTTAATTGATACATCTCAATTTAAGGTACTCAAGAACTTTCCAAGGCATCATTCACTAGATAATATTACCTTTCAGGGAACTGATTTTCAGGAAATTTTCCTAATACTAATTCACATTTTTAAAAAACACTTTATGTCCATTAATACAAAATATTTGCAGTTCTGAAATATACTATGTGTTTTCAGGTCCCTAAGCCTTTAACCCTTCTACTCCATTGCCCTAAAATATTCTCCTGCCACTATCCCCTAACTACATCCCTTCCCTTTTCCTGGATAATATCTACTCATTAAGAATAAAAATTTCCCACATTTCTAGGAAGAGTAATTGCTCTATTGTTGTTATTGTCAGGTGCCATCGAGTTGGTTCCAACTCATAGCGACCCTGTGTACAACAGAACAAAACACTGTCCGGTTCTGCACCATTCTCACAATCAGTTCCTATGCTTGAGCCCATCATTGCAGTCACTGTGTCAATCCATCTTACTGGGGGTCTTCCTCTCTTTTGCTGACTATAGATGGTAACAAATAAACACTAGAATTAAATTTAAATCTATTTAATAGATCATTGGCAAATCTATATAACCATGGTAATAGGTATCCAGCAGAACAAGTTTAAAACCCTACAAATCAATATATGTCAACTCATCTCAGTGAACCTACTTCTGAAAGCCAACCAATCAGTGAAAGGCTTTTGCTTCTGAAAGTCAGCCAACAGCAACAAACACACTCCAGGAAACATGCTTCCGAAGGTCAGCCAATCAGCAACAATCTCACCTGAGTTACCATTCTTCTACAGCTGACATGAACTCACTCTCATCTCTGAAAATCTGTCAATCCCTGAATTCCATCCTTCTTTCAAAACCCTGTAAGATCAGCAATCTGCTTGCCTGACTTAAGCAAGCAATAAATCCAGCTTTCTGCATTTGTTTCAGAGAGTGAAGTGTTTAGACAGAAATTTGCTTCAGAATCAGAATTTTATTTGATACATATTGCCCTTCCTTATTAAATCTATACAGCCAGTTCACTTAATTGTGAACCCCTAAGACGAGAGGAGAAATGGTTAAAAGCAGCAGTGTGGGAAAAATCAAGAGAGAATCTAAATAGCCTAGCTGTCTCTACATACCCACATAAATATATATATGTACGTATATATATATACATACATATATATTTTTTAATGGCTTTGAGAGGACAAGAAAAATAGGAAATGGGCTACATAGAGCCATTTCAGAAGCCATTTTCTTAAGGGTAGATTAGACACAGATTCAAAAATTATAGAAGATTTTAAAAACAGACCTCTAAAAACATTCAAGCAATATTCTGAGGTGGACCCAACAGCCAAAGTAAATGGAACCTTCTGTGTAAATGAAGTAAGATCTGAAACAGAATACCTAGGCCGGTGGGGTGGGGGGGGGCAAAACAGAATTGGAAATTGCTAATTCATACAATATCCATCATGAATTTGAATATTTTTTCAAAGCATCATACAAAATAAGTAAGTTAGGAAGCAAAGCAAATGGGATGTCCCTCCATATAAGACAACTTCCTCCCAAATAACACCAAAACCAAACGGTTCTCTGTTCTCTAAGAATTAAGCACCTATGGATAAAACCAAAAAACAACTACAGATACTGCAAGTAGTAAGGCCACTGGAAAAACCAATGTTCCTATGTTATAAGAAATATAATATTCTTACATTTTCTAAGAAACAGAAAGACAACTGTCCAATGATGCTATACCATGGGAGATGTTAGTAGCCAATAACACCCTACCCTACCTCTAAACTCCCAAAGGGAATTGCCTAAAACTATAAATGACAAAATAGACAATAATACAGCTTTCTTGTTTGATATAGATGCCATTATATTTACTAGTAATGCTACTACCACAGTATGTCATATCTCTCTGAGTAAACTTTTACAATTGTCTAAAAATATAAGAGGGATGACAAATTGGTAATAACTCAGAAAAAAATGTGTCAAAACAGAAAAAAAAAGAGTTTTGTCTTAAAGAGAAATTATTCCATTGTAACAGATTATGAATAAAAATGGTAAAAGCAAAACTTGAGAGTATACAGTTAATTAGAGAAAGTTTGAGGAGAAGTAATATCTGTCTTGGTTTAATAAGACCACCCAACTAGCAGAGATTTTTAAAAACTTTACATCTTTCCTATGTCCCAATACGTAACTGTTACTTTGGTACCATTTTCAGAATATTCTCTTCTGTGAAAAAAACAAAAACAAAAAAACCCTGCACATTTAAAAGGCAGGGATTCACTTTGCAAATGAAACTGCCAGATAGGATGTACTGCCAAAAGAAGATTTTCCCTGTCAAAAAAAAAAAAAAATAGAAATTTCTAAAAATTATCCTTTACATGACCAGATCATAGCCAATCTAGACATTAGAATATCTACTTAATGGATGACTCAAGAAAAAAATACTTAGCTATAGTCCCAGAATTCCTATGGCAAAAGACTCTATGGTTACTACAGACATAAACTGGTTGTTGCAGAAATCCAGTCCTTTACCAGAAACCAAACTGGCTCAAGTGGCTAAACTTGTGGCTGTTTCTAGCGCATGTCAATTTATTAAAAAATAAAAGGTTAAATATATACACTAACAGTTAAAATGCTTAGAACTGGTTTATAGCCTTGCAATGCTATGGAAAAAAAAGAGGTTTCTTAAGTTGCTCAGACATCTCTATAAAAATTGACAGCACATGCATGAATTATTTGATATCTTCATGCTGCCCACAGAAAATGTTGTCATAAAGGTAAGAGAGAAAAAATAGAGCTGCATTATTGAATACAACTGACACTAACCACGATTAATTAAAATTAGATTAAATTAAAAATTCAGTTCCTCAGTCAAACAAGTCACATTTCAAGTACAATACTTTGTAGTCACATGAGTCTAGTGGCTGCCTTATTGGTCAATGCAGGTATTCCATCATCACAGAAAGTTCTACTGGATGGCACTGCTGAGAAGCTAGAGGAAATGCTTTAGCAAGTAATTTAGCATAGCAATTTTTAACAGGCTGCTATGACTGAAGTCCCTATGCAAGGATCTCTTATAGAACAGAAAGACAAATCAATGGAGTGGTCCAACAAGGTTTTCGCCACACATGCACAAAACTGACCCTCAATTCTGAAAAGTAACAATGGAAACGAAGAGATCTTGTATCCATTTTCCCAATGTTTCTTTTCAAAAGTGAGGCCAAGTTTACTTTAAAAAATAAATATATGATAAATCATCTTTCAATATTCCGTAAGTTCGGACTTACATTGAGGTTCATAGAAAGCTTTTTGGAGAAAATGAGGTTTAAGTTGAAATCTCAAGCAAGTTTGACCTACTACGTACATAAGATAAAATATTTGACCAAACTGATAAAATATTGAAGTGGTTTATAATAAAGTAACTCTATTTCCATGGCTGAAAAATTGATTATAGTGTGAGTCAACTTTTCAAAAAAAGAAACACATTTTAAGAATTAACATAAAAGAAGTATATTTGAAATACTTTCACTGGGGCTTCTGTGATAGAGACAGTCACTTATTATATGTTAAATCAAGCCATGGGAAAAATTCATCCTGTTCTTTTCCCCAGCTACTTTCTTTATTCTAGCAAAATCAGTCTATGTTTATACGGCAGCAAAAAAAAAAAAATCACTTAAAATGGGATGCGAAAGAAAGAAGATGTGGAAGTACTTTATTTCAATTCAATTTCTCTAAAATATTTTTAAACACCTATTACCTCCTCAAATAAATACCCATCCTATTATTCAATATTTTTTCTTCTTCTACTCAATTCTTTCAATTCTCAAACTCAAAGCAATTACTGTTCTCCTTCTTTCATTTTCTGCACTGCTGCATTCATCCAAAAATTCACAAATCCAAGAATCTTTCTCCACACCTGACTTCTAAAGTTAAGATTCTGACTACATAAATACATTTGTCATCTCAAAGTTTTATTAGTGTAGCTTCTTAAATGTTTTAATAAATTTCATGCTTTTTCATGTGTTTATCAAGTATTATTTCTTAGATTTGCTGGTATCTTTTCAATTTCTTTCAGTGCCTTACACATTGTTCCACTAGTAGGAAGTAATAAATGTAATTTTGCTAATAAATTTTACAGTATTAGTTTATATTTATTGTAACTCAAACCAATTTTCACAAATGTAAAAGACTTTATAATTCAGACACTCAAAAACATGGGTATAGTTCATGAACTAACTCCTCTATTAACATCTGATCTGAATCAAATTACTTAAAAAATATGGCTTCTCAAATTAGCCCATTATTTATAATATACCATAGGTACTTATGTATTTCCCGGTGGCACAGCGGTTAAACGTTTGGCTGCTAACTAAAAGGCTGGCAGTTCAAATCCACCAGCCACTCCCTGAAAACTCTATGGGGGCAGTTCTACTCTGTCTATACGGTTGCTGTGATTTGAAATTGACTGGGCAACAATGGGTTTTATATATATTTCCTAACTATGATCCTGACTGCATTGTTTAAGTGTCTACTTTTATCCTTTTATGTTTCACAGGATGCTAGTTTAAAGATCACATAAAAAGGGGATTATTTCATTATGCAATAGTCATTATTATCACTCACCTTTACATATTCACCTTATTACATCAGATATCTTTTGTGATATTATTTCTCAACATAGGAAAAAAAGTACAGACTTACCAGAGATTTATATTTCTTTTCAAGAAGTCTTAGTAGTGCAGTTCTACTATAATATGCATGCTACAATTAGGGAGAAAATGGTATTTGGTTTAATATTCCAGCTGTATTATTCAAAATCTATTTCTCCTGATCATTTCCAATAACTACATCATTAATTACACAATATTTTAGTTTTAAATTATTGTCATCAGTGCCAAACAGGTTCTTCTATGTGCACTGGATTAGGACGACAGCAATCACAAGAATGCAAATCATATCAAAAAATTTGTGAATCATTTAGTGACAGCCCTGTAGAAAAACATTCTATCCTTCTACTGTGTCCAATTTCCATGCTAAACTATTTTAAAACAAGCACCAAAAAAGCTTACCTGACTGCCAGTGTGTGACAATGCCCAAAGGGAAGTGCAGAAGTGGAAAAAATAACACAACCCTTACGCTGAACAGAAAAGATTTTCTAACGTGCAGAAATTTGGCAAGGTTTGAAATGCTCCAAAGGGACAACATTCTGATAATTTTCTGTCAATCATATTTTAAAAATACTTCAAAGTGCCAAAAAAAATTTAGTAATTCTTTCCTTGGAACTGCATATAGATGAGATTAAAACATGTCTTTTATGCATTATACAAAGCCGGGGGGAAAGATACATAAATATTGTTTACCTGAATTATGTCAGATATCATTAGTGTTCAATGTAGTGTCGTCATTTTATTTATCAACAAAAAAAGTATTAAATAGAATAACACACAGAAAATCTTTACTGGAATTCTGAAGAATAGTCTTTATATTAATTAAGTGGTATTTTGGTTAACTGAGGGTTAATCAAAAACCTATGTGTTTTACCCGTGCAGCTTAAAATATTTCCAAAATCCATTAATCCCTTCTTCAGTTTAACAAAAGAAATACGTTGACCAACATTTAAACTATTTTTAATGTTGACAATATCTGAAAAGGAATCCTCAGAGTACCTGCTTTATACCAGAGTCAGCAAAATGGCCCTCAGGCCAAATTCAGCCTGCCACCACTTAATTATTACAAATAAAGTTTTATTGGAATATAGTCATGCCCAGTCATTTACATATTATTTATTAATGCTTTTAAGCTACAAATGAAGGTTAAATAGTTGTAATAAGAAATAGTATGTCCCACAGAGAAAAAATATTTACCATCAGCCCTTTACATAAAAAGTGTGATAATCCTTGCCTTAGCCTTAGAGAGTGTAGAACAATGTGATGAATTTGCATTAATACTAGAACACATTTGAGGAACTGACTTTCTAAGAATTTTCTATTGCATTTTCTTATAATCTGTCTCATTCTCTTAAAAGTTAAGTACTATCAATAAAAATGCTTACTGAAAAAAGTTATTTATAAACAATTAGTAAAGTATGATTTCATCTTTTGTTAATAAAAGACCTGAACCGATAAATTTTTAAATACATACAGTAAATATAACTACATAAAACAAAATCTTAATAGTCATTATCCCTATTTTGTACAATTCGATTTAATTTTATTTGTGCTTTTACATCTTGCATATTTTCTACAATAATGGCACAAGTTGATAATCAAGAAAAAATGAATAAAAAAAGTGTCAGATATGTGGAAAAAGGGGTTCAGGTTAAATTAATTCAATTAAATTCAGCAAACATTTACCAAACACATACTATATAAGCCAGGTAAAGGTTAAACCATGACCTGAATTGTGTTCTAGTTAACTGAGCATTTATTATATAGTTAACAAGGGGGGAAAAAATCAGCTAGACAATGATCAAATTGCGCTAAACACTAAATGAGCATGCAGCTGATTTTCATGCCAAGTCATAGCTCCAACCTCTCCATTCTCCACTTCATCAAATACCTAATGCCCAGTAGACAGGCAGGAAGAGATGGAGATGTGAGAACACAAGCCACTGCTGCTACCACTGCTGGACTCAGACGTCTCTTACTCAACAGTGGGTAAAGGATGTAATGGCATAAGAATCTCTTTACTATTAACATGAGTTTTAGTTCCAGGACAATGGTGAGCTTTGTAGGAAACTGCCACAAATCAGGGGTTGAACACATCCTCCAAACTGCAGGTTCAGGAGGAGGCAAATGAAGAGACATTTTCAAATATATTTCCTAAGCCAGAGAAAAACAAGTATTGAATCCTTATGTTCTAATACATCTACCTATTAAATTCTTTAGTTTATAAATCCTTATAAACTAAAGAAAATTGGGTTTTGGATAGATCAGCAAACGAATTACCATTTAAAATTCTATTCTGACTCTGCTATTTACTATGTAAATAACTTTGGGCAACCTTAGCCTCTCTGTGCTTCAATTGCTGCACTGTAAAATGGGTGGATAAATATTATCACTTAATGCTGAACGCAGATTTTTTTTTTTAAGAATTAAATGAGTTAACACATGGAAAATTGAATAAAATCCTTAGCACACAATACACACTCAATAAATGTTAGCTATGCACTGAAAGGTATAAAAACATATTATATTTTTCCTTACCATCCACTTTTTGAACCACACAGCCTTGGCATCAACTAATGCAAGAAAGTAAATTGGATCCAAAATCTTTTGTGAGACAAGGTGGCTTTGATCATATTTAACTGATAACAATGACAGAGTACTCTCCACAATTTCCTCCATATACCTTAAAGTTTGGAAAAGAAATGATTTTAGAAATAAACCAATGTATTATATATAGTACTAGTGATATATTGATGTATTTTATATTTGTGGAATGATAAAGTTATACATAATCTTTAGAAACAATTTTTTATATTTCAGTAAATGGCAAAGGTGGAAATCATGCCCAGTGTTTTTCTGCTTTAGAAACTTATGTTCTTTCTATTACATTACTGGCTCTCCAAATTTAACTTTCCTTTTTAGACTCACAGATGCCTTTAAAACTTCATTAAAATTTTTAGAGTTGAAAGGAAAAAGTTTAAAGAACATTTAAGAAACTTGTCCAAAGTAGTAAAGACCATCAAAAGAACCTGAGGTTGCAACATCCTTTTTACGTTGCTGTGATAAATTAAATGCTATAAAACAGTACTTGTATAGAGCCATTGGAAACCCTGGTGGCATAGTGGTTAAGAGCTACGGCTGCTAACCAAAAGGTTGGCAGTTTAAATCTACCAGGAGCTCCTTGGAAACTCTATGGGGCAGTTCTACTCTGTCCTACACGGTCGCTATGAGTCAGAATCAACTCAACCTCAATGGGTTTTGTTTTGTTTTTATACAGCCATTCACATAGCTATGTACAAAACAAGAAAGCTAAAGAAAATAAATTTTTATTAATCCCTTCCCAATCATGTAAAACAAATAAGATTGTCTCTGCTCAGTCTTTCTCTCTGAAATGTATGTGAGGCAGAGACATACCTATGTTTTATGCTGTCATAAATTAAAAGGACTTACTTCTCTGGATGACGAATCCAGAAAGATGGAACCTCTTTCTGATATTCATTTAGAAGACGAACCTACAGGAAAGCAGTGAGCAACAGGTTTTAAGAAATTAGAATTCTTAAATGTAGAACTATTTAAATAAAAATAAAAGCATATTATAACAAACAGATACCTTTTTAAGTAAACGGATCACATTAGCATTAGTTATATCTACACCAGTTGAAAGAGTCGGAATACGATTTTCTCTAGAAAGAAAGTATAACTCCAGATGTTTAGCTGAAAAGAAAAAGTAAAATATAATATAAAACTATCATTCTATTCACTCGAAGTGCTTTCTGAAAAAAAGTTATATTTCCTATCCACTTTTTCTTAAGTACATATAAAAGAGAAAAAACATTTTGATAAATGATTTAATACACATACCTAAGCTTGTGTAAATTTCTTTAGTCATATGTAACGGTGAAAGTGTAAATGTCTGTGCATAAAATTTTAAAATCCGGTCCTATGAAAATGAAACGAAACATATGCATCTAAGATTTTAACGAGAATAGAAAAGAGATCAAAGAAACATCTTTTACATAGTAAAAAACTTAGAAAATAAGCCTTTCAGAAACCTGAGTAGGAATATACCTACAAAAAAGCGCACATTCTTGTGTCAGTCTGCAAAAAATAAAACTGACCAAAACTAATAGTAAATCTATTAACAGCAATACATTATTGTAAAATTCGTTGTTAGTAAGCACTGACATTGAAAGAGAAGACGGTAAGGTTTGGATAAAGGAAGTTACAATGTAAAGGGGTCAATAAACAAGGGAATAAGGAAGGCAGTAATGAATTTAAAAACACACTCCTTTCCAAATCCAAGGTTTGTTTTTTAAGTGTTTATATGGGTAGTTTCAATAATTAGATATTTAGGACTCTCTAATAATTTTGCTAATTCCCAAAAAAAATTACAAAATTGTATATTTTGAAAATTTTATATTGTTAAAACTTAAAGTATAAATTATCACAAAGTAAATGAATTAAATGAGATAACAGATGTAAAGTGGAACAATGTGTGGTACTAGCTGGTTTTGAAAAATGGTTGCTATTATTATTACCATTTTAATTACACCAACTTTAACAGAGCAATGAAATTAATCCTAATAGTGAAATTCTACTTTCCATTAAATAAAAACAACATAAAATTGTTCCAAATTTTCTACTCGGGAAAAAAAAATATGTCAGTTAACCAACCTGCTTCTATCAAATATTGAGATAATATGCTTACAAGAAATGATCCCTCAAGTGACTAAAAAACCCACTGACATAGAGTCAATTCCGACTCAACTGCCCTGTAGAATTTCCAAGGCTGTAATCTTTACGGAGCGGCTGCTGGGTTGGAACTGCTGACCTTTCAGTTAGCAGCTGAGCTCTTAACCATAAAAATCTCAGGAGATTCCTACTGAACACAGAATGTTAAATACTCTCAAAGCTCTCTTTATATAGCTGTAGTAACTGATAAGTACCCATCACACTTTTCAACCACTATAGGCTTCACTCAGTTACATGTAATAGTCCTTTAGAGTAGGAAATGAAGAAATAGAATCAAAGTCAAAAAGAATTTGGATCAAGCACAAATTAGAAATGAAAAGAACACCATGCCTTGTTTTCTACTCCAAAATGCTTGGTTCTATTACCATTTTCCCATTATAATAATTTTTTTCTCAAATTTTATTAACTTAAGTAATGAAACTGACCTTTGCTACATAACCATCTACAATGGCTAAATAAAGCAACTTACATCGACCCATTATGATCTTACTATGTTTATAAAGCTATTACACAAATTTTTAAAAATTTAAGAAAACCTATTTGGTCAATATTCTTTGTCAAGTAAGGGAAAAATATAGGGAAATTTGCAACTGCATTTCTTGTTAGAAAGCTTTGAAAATGTTAAAATTGACCCTGCAATATCTTTTTCTCCCTTCAAGTACTTGGATCACTGAGTTTTTACAGAAGTCAGCAGCACCTTCTAGTGTTTGCAAAGTTGAACTGCACTAGGTGTTAGGTAATTAAACACCTATTTGTCCTGGTGGCGCAGTGGTTAAGCGCTAGGCTGCTAACTGAAAGACAGGCAGTTCGAATCGACCAGGTGCTCTGCAGTAGCAGTTCTACTGGGCAGTTCTACCCTGTCCTACAGGGTCACTATGAGTCTGAATCAACTTGATGACAATAGGTTTGGTTTTCGGTTTTTTAACCCTTATAAAAATAACAAATAATGGTTCCCGAATTACTTTTTACCAGTTTAATTATAACTTCACTGATGGCAGAGTGTGATTTTAACTAGACAAATGTATTAAGATATCTTATATTTTTCTGTAACTATTTGTTTACTGTCTGTCAATTCTACTAGAATGTAAATTCCATGAGGGCAAGGACTTTGTCTTGTCCACTGGTGTGTTCCCAGCATCTAACTAGAACAATACACACTGTAGATATTCAATACATATTTGCTGAAAAAATAGAAAAATGGATTTATTGTGCTAATGCCTTTAAAAATTTTGTACAAAGCACCTTATTGATTTTAAACCCAAAATTTTCTTCACTGATGTATCAGTTATAAAAAAAAAGACAGAACCTCTAAAAAACAATTTGTATTTAAGATGTGATGCTCAGATGCAGTCAGTTTTCATTTTTCACTCACATTATAGATACTATCTTTAGAATTACTGCAATTTCAATATAAGCTTACTTCTTATCAAACAGTAACTATTCCTGAAGTCATACGCAAATCAATTTTTATATAAATCAATCATATATTTGATGGCAATGGGTTTTTTTCACAATTTTACAATTTTTAGGGATTTTCTGTATTTCCTTTATGATTCACCTCAAACTATCTTCTAAACTCTTAGCTTTATAGTTTTCTAGCTTCTCTTTTTAAGCAGTTAAGCAAACTTTATATAAGCACTTAAATGTACTAGGAAAATGCTTTCAAACTCTTTAGAATGCATACAATTTATTATTTTTAAGTTCAAGTTTTCATATATCATAAATCCTTTTTAAAAATTGTTTAAAATGCTTTTTTTCTTAATTCAAAAACAACGATACAATTACTCGGCTATTCCTTTACATGATAAAATGTACAAGGTAACAGTCTACTATTATCTGGCAATAAAGTATGATATTTACCATACTTTGAATCTAATCATTAAATAATAAATTCACTTAATAAAAATTCTGACAATTCAAGAGCTGAAACCAAAATTACACAAATATCTGAGCTACTATTAAAAAAACTATTATATTTCATTTATTTCTAGAATGGTGGCACATAAATTATTTCAGTATTTCTACAACCATTTTTCTTACACTAAACACAAGATCAGGATCTGCAAGAGATACTGTCAGTTTTTCACAGAGAGTGGCCCAATTTTCACAGTTCAGAACATCAGATGGAGGAGCTGAACATAATGTTTGCAAGGCTTCATATCGCACCTAAAATGTTTTAAAAGATTTTTATTAATACCCAGCCAGTAGAATAATACCAATTCTACAAAACAATATTTAACAAGCTATTTAAAGGCAGAGTCTGGATAATTGTTTTAAAGGGTCTCATTTCCCTTTTAAAGAGTTTCAAAAAGTTTTATGAGAAATCAGATGCCTTTTTATAAAACAACTCTTAAGAAGAGAACTCATTTTTTAAACTAAGTGCTAGGCACAGGAAAACAGGTTGCTATTTGTGTAATACAAAAATTAAAACACTAAATGTATTAGGAGACTCTAGAATGGATGTCTAAATAGAAGAGGAAGAAGGACAGTGGTTTAATCTGAATCATCAGGGCAACATTTTCCAATGGCCTTGCTCCACATACTTTTTCCACTCTAGGGCCCCCAAAGGAGGTCCTACAGATGGAGGAGCTTAATTTTAAAAATTTGCCCAGATGTCACTGGTGAAGCATTCCTATTCCAGTATATATGAACAATTCTCGAAAAACAATTAATTTGAACTTGTTTTTGCTGCTGTACCATATTTTGTGACCTTTTAACCACTAAGGTAGAATAAAAAAATCATTCAGCAATGGGATGCAAAATTGAATTTCTGTGCTCCTCTGTTTTCACAGAAAAGTATACTACTTAATCATTCTCAGAACCCAATCAGAATTCATTCAAAACAATGTGACCCAAGGGACAGCAGCAGAGAATAGTTCCACTCCAGTTATGAATGCAGCAAAGCTTCTCCCCTACTCACTTCCAACTAGTGAGTAATAACACACTGATTCCAACCTATTCCTCAAAAGCTGGTCATTTCTCAGCTGAAACAATTGAAGCCTAGTGATGAAGTGAGTGAAGTGTCAGAGACAAGGGGTAAGACCTCAAGAAAATGAACACTGAAATAGGGTATCAATTTTCAGGTGAAAAAGACAGAAAATAAACATGTACTTGAAAATGTCTATACATTCATACAACAGGAGAACTCCTGAATACAACTTCATTTGTGCTGGGGGTCAGGGGGAATATAGAGGCAGTTTTAAAAATTAGGAAATCGTTTACAGTGTTAAACAATTTCTCCTTTTCAGACTGTTTTAGGACAAAATTCTGTTAAGAACTTACTAATTTCAGAAGCAGAATCAAAGTATTCTGGACAAGTATAGACTCTCACGTATTCTACTTAAGCTGAATAAAATTTTTATCATAAAAGTCAAGTCCCATTTCCAATATCCTTTGAAATATCAATTATTTACTGAGAACCCACAAAATAAATCAGAATGCAGAATGCTGAGAGGAAAAAAAATTATTCTTCACTATGACTTTTTTTTAGAAAATTTCAAGAAGAGTAAATCATAGCTTCGTTTAGTTGAGTCTCTGGGTGGAGTAAACAATTAAGTTCTCAGCTACTAACTAAAAGGCTGGATGTTCAAATCCACCCAGAGTGCCTCAGAAGAAAGGAGAAAGGCCGGGTGATCTACTTTCAAAAAATCACAGCCATTGAAAACTCTGTGGAGCACAGTTCTGAAACAAAAGGGGTCACCATGAGTGAGAATCAACTCAGTGGCAACTGGATTTTTTATTTATTCATTTAGTTTAAAATGAAAAGTTTAATAAAAACAATAATTTATTTTAAAAATTGAGAGCAAATGGCAAGATATAAACAGAAGTCTCAGGTACTTCAAAAATCCTATCATAGATTCTATTTCAGATGGACTTTTAAATAAAGTAAGACTTCATAAATAATAATTTGTGTAATTTTTAAAAATATAAAGATAAAATTCAATAAAATTGTTTTATTAAGATACTTTTTATAATAAATGAAAATGTGTCAAAATTGCTTACATTTTCTAAAAGTAAAAAAAACTTTGTTGTTGTTTTTTTCCCTCAAAGAAATCAATGAACTAAAACATCACAATAAAAACATCAGTGAAGTAGTTTTGGGGACAGCTGCCCATAACTTCATCCCTTCAAATTTAAAAGTAGAAATAAAAATTTCTTCTTACAAACTATAACAAAGCATGATAATTCTCTAAGGAAAGCCTTCCTCTTTCTGTGACCTTTCATTTCAAGACTAGAAAGTCTACCAGGGATATCATTCTAGGATTGCCCATAATAAAAAAAAGCCTATTCTCTGGAGAAATAGTCCAGGTGCTACTGATTGTAATCTAGTATATTACAAATATGTGATATCTGACTGAACTTGACAGCTATCCTTTAAACTTACCTCTTTAGGTTGCCCAGGATCCAACTGATCTAAAATCAATTGTAATTTTCCTTGACAAAATTTGTAACTCTGTAACACAATTGACAGAACGTTCATTAATTTAGTAGACTTTTAGAAGTATTGCTATACATGATTTTTTAATACAATTCAAAGCACAAAATGCATTCTGAATAAGAGAAAGGGGATGATCTATCTTGATTTGGCAGCAAACTCACAATGTTTGTTTCCCAAGGCATTTAAATTGGAACTGAATGTCCCAGTAGAACAGTGTACCTTCATGTATATGAAAACTCTTACTATTTGCTGAGCAATTGCAATATGAAGACTATTACAAGACTCAGAAGACGTAAAGCCAAAATATTTTGAACCCAGGGAATGTGAGACGAATGGAACAGAAAGATAAACAACATAAACAAGTCGAAAGGCACTAATAGTACCCTAGGCATAGCTACAGTGCTGCTTGCATTTTTTTGTTCCTTTTCATTCCTGTATTTTTCCTTAGCCTTTCTCCATGACTATTCTTTGGTAAAAAAAATTCCTGGAGTGAAAACTTTCACCTAGAAAAAGTGTATAGTAGATCATAAGCTATTCTGGAGAAGAAAGAAAGGAGTCTTTTCTCCCAAAAGAAATTTAAATATATAAAATACCTTTAAAAATCATCTAAATATAAAAAACTGGCAATAATATTAGCTGTCATTTATTAAGTATCTATTATATAACAAGACCTATACTCTTTCAATAAGCCCTGGTGGTGCAGTGGTTAAGCACTCATTTGCTAACTGAAAGGTCGGCAGTTCGAACCCAACAGCTGCTCAGTGGAAGAAAGATGTGGCAATCTGCTTCTGTAAAGATTACAGCCTTGAAACCCTACAGGGAAGTTCTACTCTGTCCAAAGGAATGCTATGAGTCGAAATCAAGTCAAGGCAATGGGTTTGGTTTGTGTTTTCTATGCCCTCTCAATTCACAATGACTGTGAAATACGAAAACCAAAGAGGTTAAATAACTTCTCCAAGCTACACAGCTACCAGAACTCAGATTCCCGTCCACGTTAAAGATCATCTTCTCTTCACTATCTTTACTCTTTCCTGACATGTTCTTACCCAGTTTTTTTACTTTAAATATATTATGATGCCTCATAAATTTATATCAGCATTAGATCTCTAGAGTTACATATCTATTATCCTCTCACAGGGTCACCTGCATGTTTAATAGGCATCTCAAACTTAACATGTCCAAAATAGAATTCTTGATTTTTATTCCAAACCTGCTCCTCCCTCAGGCTTTCCCATCTTGGTAAATGGCACTACCATCCATTCAGATTTTGACTTGGGTCAAAAACAGGAGTCAATTTTGACTTCTCTCCTCTCATTTCCTACATCCAATCTACCATTAAGTCTTACAAGACAACCTCCAAGGTTCACATATCTTAAATCCAATTACTCATCACCAGTTCCCTGCTAAAACTCCAGCCAGAGGCACCATCACCTCTAGTCTAGACTACTTCAATTCATCCTAACTGGTCTCTTGATTCTACTCTTATCCCATCCTATCCCAACCAACTATCCATTCTACAGCAACAGTGAGACTGAGTTTCTTAAAATTATAAATCAAATCCTTTCACTTCCTTACTTAAACCCCACAAAAGACATCCTACTTTACTCAGAATAAAATATAAACTTCTTACTTACATGATCAGGCCTCTGCTTATCTCTCTCTCTCTCAAGTCATTCTTCCCTCTGCCCTCCAGGCCTTCGTTTCATCCACTGAAGATGCCATGCTCATTCTAGGCCAAGAACCTTTGCCCTTGCCTTAGTTCCTTCTTGGCCATGTTCCTCCTCTAGAATTTTGTATGGCTGCCCTCTTGCCACTCAGGACTCAGCTCAAAAACCCCCTCAAAAAACGTTCCCTAACGTGGGGTCGCCTTAAAGGTTGCCTATGTTATATTAAGGTCTCTTTTTATGTTGTTATTGTGTTTCAGAGGATGAACATAAATAACCACAGCAACTAACTACAATGACTTAGAGTATGTAGCTAATATGTGTACAATTTAATATGTATTTATTAGATTTTCAGTTGCTGTAAATATTTCTTAGATTGAAAAGCCCTGAAGATAGGAGCAGTGTATCATCTATACGTGTTGCTAACTTGATTTGTAAAGTAACACACACACAGGTTCTGTTGGTGATAATAAAAGTGATTTATATCAATAGAGGAAGATGAATACCTCCAAAAGGAAATTTTTATAAAAACATATTAACGTGTGAAAATAAAAACTAAGCAAATAATTTCTAAGCAAACCATAAGAGGAAAAGAGAAAGAAATACAATAGGTTGATAGTTTAAGATGTATTTGATCCTCTTATATAATCATTTGGATCCTAACCGAAGAGTTTTTTCATGCTAAAATAAGATTCAGATGCGTTTCTGTCAGGTGCATTTTTACCTAAAGACTGCAAACAGGAGATACATTCTGTAATGTTTTCAGAGATATAAAACTGAATTACTTTATTACAACATATGCTGAAGAATATTCACATTATTCTATTACTATATTTTAAAAGCAAAAGCAAATCACCCTCAACATTAATTTACCCTTGAAAACTCTTCTAAATATTTTTAATGTTTGGTTTGTAAACTGTATAAACCACTGAACATACAACCAGTTAAAGAAAGATAATTATTGCTAATGTTTAAAGCAATACTGCTACAGGAAATAAAAAGGAAAAGTAAATAAATATTAAACCTAATAATACTTTAGGCTTTAACATGTCTAACCACACAATGATTTCTTTTCTATTCTTAAAAAAAAATTCACCCGATGATGACAACAATAGCAAAGACTTATGTAAGTGCTTATTATGTAGCAAGTACTGTTCAAAATACTTTACATACATTAAATTCACAAAGCAGCCCTATCAGGTAGGTTCTATTATTATCTCCATTTTTGCTGTTGTTGTTAGGTGCTGTCAAGTCAATTTCAACTCATAGTGGCCCCATGTGATAGCTACTCCATAGGGTTTTCCAGGCTATAATCTTTACAGGAGCATATCGACAGGTCTTTCTCCCAAAAATTGAGGCATAGAGTGGTTAAGAAACCAAGATCCACAACTCATCAATGACAAAGCCAAAAAACCAGAGATTACTTCAGACTGGTTTGTTTCAAGATACGGAATGAATTAGCCTCATTTAGAATGCCCTTTTCAAATTTTAGTGCATCTAAAACTTTTTATATTATGTACCCACCATTCATTAAGCCTTAAATACAGAACAAAGTTACTATTTCAAAACAAAAACATGAGGTTTAAAGACATTTCCAAATGCTAAGCTAAATTTTTCTTAATTTCCTAGATGTTTTAACAAAAGAGAATTTTTGCACTTTTCCTTAAAAAAAGGCTACATTGAGAAGTAATAACAAAAACCTATTAATATTTTAAAGTAAAAAAAAAACTTTAGGTATTCATAAAAAGAATATTAGCCCTGTTCATGAAGAAATTGATTTTCTGATGGCAAACTGTCTCCTCAAGGATTATTGAAACAAACAAGCAAGCAAGCAAAAATAAGCTCAAACCTGCCCCTCCCTCCACTCTAACTCAAGGCAGATGCACTATTACTGTGAGCTTTTTTTTTTTTTTTTAAATCTCAGCTACTTTTCCCCCTCACTTCTACATTTTTAAGATTTTAGGCTCCAATCTTCTCCCTCGTATGAAACAAATATTAAGAATGATCAAACCTTATCGATTGGAGGTAGCTAGAGGTGGATGAACTTCAGAAATGTAGGTGGGGCTGTGACTACTCCGTTGTTCTGACTGATGCTGCTGAAAAGAGGTGAGGATGTGGAAAGGTTCATCCCTAAGCAATAGTGTGAAATCCTTAAAAGCAGAATTCCTCACTAGAAAGAGTTCGGAAGATTTTAGAATAGGCTAGAAACTGAATGCGGCATCAGGATTGGTAGAAGAGTTATTAACAACCTGTGATATGCAGATGACACTACCTTGCTTGCTGAAAGCGAAAAGGACTTGAAGCACTTACTGATGAAGATCGAACACTACCGCCTTCAGTATGGATTACACTTTAACAAAGAAAATCATAATCCTCATAACTGGGCCAACAAGCAACATCATGATAAATGGAGCTAAGACTGACATTGTCAAGGATTTCATATTAGGTGGCTCCACAATCAACACCCATGGAAGCAGCAGGCAGGAAATCAAACAACAAATTACACTGGGCAAATCTGCTGCAAAAGACTTCTTTCAAGTTTTAAAAAAAAAAACAAAGATGTCACTTTGAGGACTAAGGTGTGCCTGCCCAGTCATGGTATTTTCAATTGCCTCATACGCATACAAAAGCTGGACAATGAATAGGAAAGACGGAAGAAAGACTGATGCCTTTGAATTATGGTGTTGGCAAAGAATACTGAATATACCATGGACTGTCAGAAGAACAAACAAGTCTGTCTTGGAAGAAATACAGCCAGAGTTCTCCATGGAAGCGAGAATGGCAAGACTTTGTCTCACACACTTTGGACATGTTATCAGTAGGGACCAGTCCTTAGAGAAGGACATCATGCTTAGTAAAGTACAGGGTCAGCGAAAAAGAGGAAGACGTTCTACAAGATGGACTGACACAGTGGCTGCAATACTGGGTTCAAGAATAACAACGATTATGAGAATGGCACAGGATGAGGCAGGGTTTCGTTCTGTTGTACACACGGTCGCTATAAATCGGAATCAACTTGACAGCACCTAACAACAACAACAACAAGAAATTGAATGGAATTCAAGATATTCTGATTAAGATATGAAGAGTGAGGGCAAAAATCAATTACAGTAGTTGAAAACACACACTCTGAAAGGCAGAGGAAAGATCATGCATCCAACCAAGGAAAGAAGGTACTCAAGAAAATTCCCAATGGAAGAACTGAAAGCCTAGTAACAAGATGGAGTTTAGGTTGCTCCTAGAAGGCAGTTCAAATGCAGAGTCAAAGGAATAGGATCTTCTTTACCAGAAACTTAGAAGGAAAGACAAGCCCTGGCCTTTGTCTGAAGGTTGGAGAAGGCAGGTGAACTATTCAGGACAGTGGCACTGTATTAGTTTCCTATTACTGCTGTCATAAACTACTCCAAATTCAGTGGCTTAAAACAACACAAATTTCTTATCTTACAGTTCTAAAGGCCAAAAGTCTAAAATAAATCAGCAGGGCTGTGTTCCTTCCAGAGGCTCTACAGGAAAATCCATTTCCTTGCTTTTTCCAGCTTCTAGAGGCTACCTGCATTCCTTGGTCATGGCCCCCCTCCATCTTCAAAGCCAGCAGTCACATCACTCTACTTCTATGATTATATCTCCTCTGACTCTGACCTTCCTGCTGCTCTTTTATAAGGACCCTTGTGATTAGATTAGGCTCACCCACATAATCCAGGATACTCTCCCCATTTCAAAATCCTTAACTTAATCACATCAGCAATGTCCCTTTTGACAGGTTCTGGGGATTAGGATGTGGACATCTTTAGGGGTGGGAGATATTTTTTCTGCCTACTGCAGGCACCAAAGGATGGGTTTCAAGGAGAAGCTGCCTTGAAAGCAAAGAAAAAACAGTAAGTGCCTTAAACAGGTTCACATCATGCAAGTGTAATAGGTGGCAATTATCACAAATTTACCTTCTCCATATAAACTGTACACCCTGGGGTTCCTTAGAACATTATAGAATAGCTTGTACACTATAAAACAACATAATGACTGTGTTGTACTACACTGAATACTGTGGCAGAAGAGGAAGATAAAAATTGCAAGAGGAAGAATATGAATTTTTAAAGCTTAATGTATAAGTTAGAGATAATCCTCTAACTTCCCAGCAGCAGAATATGACCCAGAGAAGCTCCAGTTAAAAATCATACAGGATCACAGGTGAGATATTTTCTATTTGAGTGCAGCTCTGAATGGCATCCATTTCAGTATACCTTTTAAGAGATAGCAATAACAATAAAAGCTAACATTTATAAAACAGCAACTGTGTGCCAGGCACTGTTCTAAGCACTTGAGAGATAATTAACTCAGTTAATCTTCTCAACGACCCTGTGAGGTAAGAGGAATTATCATTCCCATTTTACAAATGAGAAACACTAAGGTACAGAGAAGTTAAGGTATTTATTTGTCCAAAGTCACACAGTAAGTGGTGGAACTGGGATTTGAACCCAAGCAGTCTCCAGGTAGTGTGGCATAGAATAAAGACAACAGGCTTCGGAGAAAGAGAGGCCAGGGCTTAAACTCAGGCTCCACCCCTAACTAGCAATGTGAGTTTGCAAACTACTTACCTGTTATTATAGGTAACCCTCACTTTTTCATTTGTAAAATGGGCTAATAATACCTACAGTGAATATAAAGCTAAGAACAAGCACCAATATATGGTATAGTTGTTAGTTGCCATAGAGTCAGCTGAGACTCATGGCAACCTTATGAATAACAGAAAAAAAATGTTGTCCAGTATTGTGCCATTTCCATGATCTTTGATATGTGTGAGCCCACTGTTGAGGCCTGTATGTCAATCCATCTCATTAAGAGTTTTCCTCGTTTTTGCTGACCCTCCAAATTACCAAACACGATGGCCTTCTCTAGTAATTCTTCTTTCCTGATGACATGTCCAAAGTAAGCAAGATGAAGGAATCGAAATAACAGGTTGCTAGTATTTCTATCTTTGCAGCACTATTTTGGAACTAATAAGCAAAATAGCAATGCTAAAATTATTTACTCAATGTTATTTATAGAAAAATTAAGACAATTTTTTTAAGCACAGCACAAGTCACTTATTAATTTTGAAGACATCAATCAATAAGAACAGTGGTATTTAACTTAATGAATGACTGACACATTTTTAGAGACTTTTAATTCTTAACATATTAATTCAGCCTCTCTTTGGTCAGTCACATTAAAGAGAAGACTCTTCTTTTACTAAGCAAAGGTATACCCAAATATCTCCCAGAGGTTGGCCACACTGAAACAGACTTCATGATAGTTCTAGCAATCATATGCTTCATTCCAGAAGTCCAGCGATCCCATGCCTTCTTGGTGGGCATAGTTCACTTTCAACCTAATTAGTTCTTCTGAAACAAAGTCATCTTCATAAGATAGACACTTGAAAATTCAGAAATTCCCTGTAGACATCCCAAAGGAAGTCACAGAACCTTAAAGCATGTTTCTTCTTCAAGAATCAAAACAAAACAAAAAACAAAAACATCTTCTGGAATTATTATCCCATTTCCATGAAAGTTTTGCAATTCTTCAAAAATCTAAGATTATAATGAACTAGAAATAATTTAGCATTTGGGAATCAGCAACCTCTCAACTGCCAGCTACTCATTCAATCCTATTTAAATCTGATTACTTGTACTTCTTAGAATTAATAATCCTTCATTTTTTTCTCTTACGTTTCAATTTCAACGTATTGAGATGGTTCATCAAATAAGTAAGAAAGTATAATGTTGTGAGCCCCAAAGTCCTAAAGTTGGGTTTTCTGTGCCTTTTAATTCCAGAAAGTCCTAGATTTGAAGAATCAGCTCAGTTAACCTACTGAACAAGCCATCATATTGCATCAAATTAAACTAGAATCTCTATATCTCAGCTTCTTCCAAACAGCCCATCAACAAAGAATGATTAAGGGATACAACATGAAGAAAATTCACCATCTTTTTCACTACCTCCATCATATCAGGTAACCATCCTGACTTGTAAAATTCGTAACTCATCACAATCCAGCTAAAAGATGCAATAGATGCTAAACCTTTAAGTTCTGTTTTGAATACTTCCAAAACTATTTTTCCTTCAATCATGCAGTCCCAACTGCAACTGACACACATACATTTTTCATGTTTCACCCAAATTTCCCAAATCCCTTTCAGCGTATGGTTAGGATCTACCTGCCCTTATGTGATAGCTAATTAAGTGAAAATATTTTACAACAAATATCAGGTAGGATTCACACTAAGATCAGACAGATTCCATCTGGCCAGAAAGTGGAAATTCACAGCACATGTATGGGGTCTAATCTAGCTAGTTTCCATTGTCTTCTGTGAAGGCTAATCTAGTAAAGTGGCCTTTCTCTTAGCTCTGCTGTCACCAAATGACAAGTATTCTAATATCCTGGTTAGAAAAAGTGGAAGACCTCAAATCTTTCGACATCTAAAAAAGTTTACTGTTTTAAAACTAACACAATTCACAGCAACCTTCCTCTCCAGGGATTATATAAAGGACATGCTTCATCTCCATATCTCACCTATAACATAGTTAAACTTTAATTAGTAATGATTAATTCAGAATAAAATGTTTTAACTAAAGCTTAAGGATATTTGTTTCAATTCTAATTATTTTTTAAAATTCCAAAACCCATTAGTTTATTTCCTTACGTTAATAAAAACTGTCTCAAATATAATCAACAATGAGTATACAATTCTATGTTATTTCATGAACTAAACCTTTAATATTAGGTTATTTTATTGTTTATTTTTCTTCTGAATCTTAAAACTAAAAAACGGAAAAAATTCTGATTAAAAAAGAATTTACTGAAGCTAGTTATTATTAAATACCATTTCAAGACATAAATGCCAAATGCAGCAACACACCTGGTTGAATGATGAATCACTATCAGAGCAATTGTCTGTGCAGTAACTATTGCTTTTCTCATTTTGGAGTTTTTTCTGCCTCTCTTGAATTCGTATCTCATCGTCTTCAAACTTGTTAATCATAGATTCCACCACTACTATCATGATGTTCTTCAAGGAATGCATCATTTCTTTGTACCTTTAAATTCAAAAGTAGTCTTAATAAGAGAAAGCCTATCAGCACAATTTAAACAGTCAACTAAGTTAAACTACTTGATTTTTTCTTCTATAAAAAAGAGCAGGCCCTTTAAGAACACAATTCTAAAGAGAAAAATCTAAGTCATTTTTCTTAAAGAACAAATGTTATGACATTATTCACAGGGCGGGTATAAAAATTAATAGGTAACCCAAAAAGTGTGTTATTCCTGTTTTTTTTTTTTTTCAGCTGGTCACATGGACCAAGATAGTAAAATTAACAGAATCTGAGACAACAAGTTCCAAAGGTACAGGTTCCAGTAACTAGCAACAAAGGCAATAGTTAATATCATATCCTGCCAAAGCTCAGCCTACTATATACTTCACTCTTATTCCTTGTTTTATTTCTCTCTTTCTCTATCAACCTTCTCCATTTTGTTCCCTCCCTTCTCCCCTGCCTATACTTTCTCTATAGGTACCCATAGCCACAACTGAGACCTGCTATTTACACTCAGGACTTTTAAATAAGAGTTTAACTATCAGTGGGTCCTTTCAAACAGAGAGCTAGAGAACTCACTGTCAGGTATGTTAGAAAAGGGATTCCTGAAATTGGTAATAGCGTGAACCAGAAAACTTCTAAGATCCCTTTAGCTCCATGGGTCTAAAAATCTCAAGAAGAAATTATAACAAATCTCTCCATTTATTAAGTGCAAACTCCTAAGCCTCCCTAAGAATATTAGACTGTGATGATATCCCCAAAAACCAAAGGAATAGAATTTTAGAACTAGAATGAACCATAAAAATAATCTACCCTTTACTGTATAAATGAGGGAAACGTGAACGGGACCACTGAAATCTCTATATTTAAAACAAAAAGAGATAAATATGCAAATAAACACAGTGAATAAAGTACTACATTTAGTATCAGAAAAAGTGGATTGTACTCCTGACTACTTCACTTACCAGCTCTGTCATGAGCCTCAATTTCCTCAGCTAGAAAATAAGATAAAAAATATACAATCTAGCTGACCTATTTCACAAGGCTGTAGCAAGAAATAAATGAGAATATATATCTGGAAGTGTTTTGTAAAATATAAAGCATTATACATATATTTATTATCATTATAATCATAGAAATACATTAGGAAAATAAGCACAAAAACATCCCTATCTATATTTCCAGTTAATGGGTCATTGTAATTGCATAAATCAAAGGAAGGATAGGTACTATCTATCATATGAACAATAAAAACATGCTGGGGGATTTGGAGAGAAATAATACACTGAGATTTTAAAAGTTAAAGTAATTTTAAAATTATATAACTATAAAATGTATATAACATACATAGTTATATTTTTTTAAAGCCCCAGAAATTAACAGAAAACACTAAAATATTGAGAGTAGCTGAGAACAGATTAGTAACAATACGGGGGAAAAAACATAGAAAAGAAATGCTATAGAGCTGAGAGTCCAGGGGAGATCCAAATTTAAAGTACAAGGATATAAACAGCAGGAAGGAGACCTGGAACACTCTTTAGACTAATTATCTAAGTACATATAGAATAACTGAGCCAGGAGGACCCAGCTTCCTCCTCTATAAATTCTGAGCTGCAAGAAACAAGGAAGCAAGACAATGCCCTAGCAGCAATCAACAGATCCAACAAAAGCTACTCTCTCCTTGTAAAAGACTGCATTACAGCTGGACACAGGACTAAGCTACATTTCCCAGCCTCCGCTGCAGCTAGGTACAAACACATAAACAACATAAAGTCCTGGTCCCCTTAAAAGTTACTATTTGTTGATTTAATGAAGTATAAAACTCAACCTCATTGACAGACAGGCTAAGAGCACAGTGCAATCGAAATCCATAGAAAACCTGTACATTTCATTATAGAATAAATGTTTCCTCCATGTCTTTTAGAAACGGAATTCCAACATGAATTCTTGCAAGAAATACCAACAAAATGGCCACAAGGAATGATAAGAATAATAATTTATAAAGTTAAGTAAAAAAAAAAAAAAACAAAACTAGACAGCCAGATCCTCAGTATCAAGAGTTATATTAATTATAACCGAATAGCGATCACTGAAGTTTTGAAAAGGCTAAGAAAAACCTGTCTAGAATAGAACATGGCCACCAGTGAGTAGATTCCTTCAGACTCCAAGAAGTTCTAAAATAAAGATTATAGAAAGAAGAAGCTCTAAGAGTTAGTAAATAAATTCCACATCAATTAACATAGAAAACTGACACAGTAAATACTTACACTTCTTATTAGAGTAATATAGGAGAGATACACCACTCATCTGTCAGTTTGTCATACTGTGGTGGCCTGCGTGTTACTGTGAGGCTAGAAGCTATGCCACCAGCAACAATCAGCAGGGTCACCTATGGTGGACAGGTTTCAGCAGAGCTTCCAGGTTTCAGCAGAGCTTCCAGACTAAGACAGACTAGGAAGAAGGACCTGGCGATCTACTTCTAAAAAAACTGGCTAGTGAAAATGTTATGAATAGCAGCAGAACACTGTCTAATATAATGTAAGGTAAGGTGAGCCCCACTGGTTGGAAAGCACTCAAAATATAAGAGGGGAAGAGCTGCCTTTTCAAAGTAGAGTTGACCTTCATGACGTGGATGGAATAAAGCTTCTGGGACCATCATTTGCTGACGCAGTATGACTCAAAATGGGAAGAAACAGCTGAAAACATCCATTAATAATCGGGATGTGGAATATATGAAGCATGAATCTAGGAAAATTGGAAGTCATCAAAAATGAAATGGAACGTATAAAGATTGATGTCCTAGGAATTAGTGAGCTGAAATGGACTAGTATTGGCAATTCTGAATTGGACAATCATACAGTGTATTATGCCAGAAAGGAAACCTGAAGAGGAATGGTGTCGCATACATCGTCAAAAAGTACATTTCAAGATCTATCCTGAAGTACAACTTTTTCAGTGACATGATAATATCCGCACACCTACAAGGAAGACCAGTTAATACAACTGTTATTCAAATTTACACACCAACCACTAATGCAAAAGATGAAGAAACGGAAGATTTTTACCAACTTCCGCAATCTGAAATTTATCAAAAATGCAATCAAGATCCATTGATCATTACTGATGCAAAAGTTGGAAATAAAGAAAAAGAACTGGTAGTTGGAAAATACAGTCTTGGTGATAGAAACGGTGCCGGAGATAGCATGATAGAATTTTGCGAGACCCATGAATTATTCATCACAAATACCTTTTTTCAAAAACAAAAACGGAGACTGTACACATGGACCTCACCAGATGGAACATATAGGAATCAAATCGATTACACCTGTGGAAAGAGACGAAGTAAAAGCTCAATATCATCAGTCAGAACAACACCAGGGACCGACTGTAGAACAGACTATCAATTGCTCCTGTGCAAGTTCAAGCTGAAGCTGAAGAAATGTGGAACAAGTCCACAAGAGCCAAAGTACAACCTTGAGTATATCCCACCTGAATTTAGAGACCATCTCAAGGATTTGACACACTGAACACTAATGACCAAAGACCAGATGAGTTATATGAAGACATCAAGGACATCATACATAAAGAAAGCAAAAGGTCATTTGAAAGACGGAAAACAAAGAAAAGACCAAAACGGATGTCAGAAGATACTCTGAAATTTGCCCTTGAACATAGAGTAGCTAAAGAGAATGGAAGAAATGATGAAGTAAAACAGCTGAGCAGAAGATATCAAAGGGTGGCTCAAGAAAACGAGTAAAGTATTATAATGAAATGTGCAGACTTGGAGTTAGAAAAGCAAAAGGGAAAAACATGCTCAGCACTTCTCAAGCTGAAAGAACTGATGAAAAAATTCAAGCCTCAAGTTGCAATACTGAATAATTCTATATAGGCAAAATATTGAACAACACAGGATACATCAAAAGATGAAAGGAATACACAGAGTCACCAAAAAGATTTGGCCGACATTCAACCACTTCAGGAGGTAGCATATGATCAGCAATTGATGGTATTAAAGGAAGAAATCCAAGCTACACTGAAGACATTGGTGAAAAACAAGGCTCCAGGAAAGGACAGAATACCAACTGATATGTTTCAACAAACAGATGCAGCACTGCAGGTGTTCGCTCGTCTATGCCAAGAAAGTTGGAAGACAGCTACCTGGCCAACTGACTGGATGAATCCATATTTGTGCCCACTCCAAAGAAAGGTGATTGAACACAATGAGGAAATTATCCAACAGTATCATAAATATCGCACACAAGAAAAATTCTGCTAAAGAAAATTCAAAAACAGTTGCAGCAGTACATTGACAGGGAACTGCCAGAAATTCAAGCCAGATTCAGAAGAGGACATGGAAAGAGATTGTTGTTGTTGTTGTTAATGTCATCGAGTCGGTTCTGACTCATAGCGACCCTATGTACAACAGAACCAAACACTGGCCAGTTCTGAGTCATCGTTACAATCATTGTCATACTTGAGACCATTGTTGTGGTCAGGGTCTTCCTCTTTTTTGCTGACCCTCCACTTTTCCAAGCATGATGTCCTTCTCCAGGGACTGGTCCCTCCTGATAGCTTGTCCAAAGTATATGAGACGAAGTCTCTTCATCCTCAATTCTAAGGAGCATTCTGGCTGTACTTCTTCCAAGACAGATTTGTTCATTCTTTTGACAGTCCATTGTATATTCAATATTCTTCACCAATACCACAACTCAAAGGCGTCAATTCTTCTTCGGCCTTCCTTATTCATTGCCCAGATTTCACATGCATACGAGGCGATTGAATAAACTATGGCTTGGGTCAGGCACACCTTAGTCCTGAAAGTGAGATCTTTGCTTTTTAACAATTTAAACAGGCCTTTTGCAGCAGATTTACCCAATATAATACATCGTTTGATTTCTTGACTGCTGTTTCCATGGGTGTTAATTGCAGATCCAAGTAAAATGACATCCTTGACAACTTCAATCTTTTCTCCGTTTATCATGAGGTTGCTTATTGGTCCAGTTGTG